GGTTCCTCCAAACTCACTCACTCCTCCGTTACGCGACAAATTCTCACCCTCAGCATCTACTTCTGATACCCTCTCTCAGTCTCTCTCTGATGGTTCAGAGCTAGTTTTATTTCTCTCTCTCTTTCTTTACACAGACCAGTTCTGTGGTTAGAGAGAGAGAGAGTGAGGAGAGAGAAGAGATAGTGAGATTGAAGTTGTGGGTTTTTAGAAGCTTGAATCCATGGCTTCTTGGGCTCTTTCGCCGGCAGCTCCAGTAACCGGTCGCTGTATAGTGACTCCTGCCAGGACAAAGTGGTCCTCCTCCTTCTGGGTTCGTTCTTCTCTGGACACAAATGTTTCTGACATGGGGGTTAACGGTAAAGTTCCCTTTTTTCTTAAGCTCCATTTTGTCAATTTTCAATATTTCTAATGCTTTTTGGTTAATTTTAATTTCTGGGTTTCTTTCTTTTGGTGAATTATGATGAATTTGAGGAAACTTGTGATGGGATTACATTTACTTTAACTGAATTTATGAAAAGTTATGGGCTTTTGATCAAAAGTTCAAACTTTTCAAGTTCCAAATTACTTTAATTCACAAAAATACCAAGCTTTGTGCTAAAATTTGAGGTTAATACTTAATATTCCCACGAAAAGTTAGAATGATATGATGTTTAGTGATGAAGTGAATGATTATTTACTGTTTGAGCTACTATTTAGTGTATACTGAGATGAATGCTTAATCTTCCAGCTCCAAAAGGGTTGTTTCCACCTGAACCGGAGCGTTACCGAGGTCCAAAGCTGAAAGTGGCCATTATCGGAGCTGGACTCGCTGGCATGTCAACCGCGGTTGAGCTTTTGGATCAAGGCCATGAGGTTTGGCCAATTTTGTTTACTTTGTCTGAATTGTATGTTTCTTTCAGTTTAGAGCTACATTGCTTCAATGGATGAATTGAATTTTTAAAGTTGGAAACTTAGACTGAAACTTCTCAGTAAGCTAACTTCATAATTTTCTGTAAGGTTGTTTGATGACTGATTGTCTTTTCCAGGAAAACTTGTTAACATGTGTTCTTTGTAAATTCTGCAGGTGGATATTTATGAGTCGAGGCCTTTCATTGGCGGCAAAGTGGGCTCTTTTGTTGATAAAAAAGGGAACCACATTGAAATGGGACTCCATGTTTTCTTCGGTTGCTACAGTAATCTTTTCCGATTAATGAAAAAGGTGGACAACTTTTGCTTGCTTGAACTTCTGTTACACTTGTTAATTTTACGTATAATCGCTAACAAGTTTTCTTGGACCACCACTAAACAGGTGGGTGCAGACGAAAATCTTCTTGTCAAGGATCATACTCACACTTTTGTAAACAAAGGGGGTAACATTGGTGGTATGTCTTGGTGCCTGATCTTGTATTTCAGGGTTCATTTATGAATCACTGATCTCCAATGTACATTATCTGTTACTTGATTTTCATCGCAGAACTTGATTTTCGGTTCCCAATTGGAGCACCAATACATGGGATTCTTGCCTTTTTGTCTACTAATCAGATTAAGGTACGACTGACTTTACTGCAAATCATCATCATTGTCACATCTCATTACCAGTATAGAGAATGAAGCATTGTTCGCCTTTTGTCGGGAAAGACAGTACAATAAAAAAAAAAAAAAAACTGATACGCTTTTTCCTTATTATCATTTAGTTGATTAATCCTAGTGAATCAAATTGTAATGGTGCTTTTTCTGTTATTGATTTTCCTTTATAACTGTTCAGACTTACGATAAAGCAAGAAATGCAGTGGCTCTTGCCTTAAGTCCGGTTGTAAAGGCTCTTGTTGATCCAGATGGAGTGTTGCAGGATGTCCGGAATTTGGATAGTGTAAGAATGAAAGCTATTTCTATCTTTTATTTTGGTCTCCATTCATTGTATTGTTAGTTGAAACTGGAAATGTTTGGAAGTCTTTTACAATTATTATTTTTTTTTTTCAACACAGTATTATAAAAACTGGACTTGGTTTTTGCAGATAAGTTTCTCTGATTGGTTCTTGTCAAAAGGTGGCACGCGAATGAGTATCCAGCGGATGTGGGATCCTGTTGCATATGCACTTGGGTTTATTGACTGTGATAATATTAGTGCTCGTTGTATGCTCACTATATTCACATTGTTTGCCACTAAGACCGAGGCTTCCCTTCTACGCATGCTCAAGGGTTCGCCAGATGTTTACTTAAGTGGCCCCATCAGAGATTATATCATTGAAAAGGGGGGCAGGTATATCTTTGTAAAAGATACAAGAGCTTTGCATGGAAATGAAGAGATAACGATTGTTTTCTTTTTCTGTTTCTCCTATATCAGTTGGAATGTCGTTGTCTGCTGTAACAGGTTTCATCTTAGGTGGGGGTGTAGAGGAATACTGTATGATAAATCTTCTGATGGAGAAACATATGTTGCCGGATTTTCGATGTCCAAGGTAACTTACTTATCATATTGCTTCTTTTAATACAAATGAAATTTAATAAAGATCGATTTCTTTGACGGCTGGAATCTTTTATTGTGTTACCTTAGATGCTTGTGGTGGAACTTGTGCTTCTTTAAATGTAAATACCTAAAGTGTTCCTTTTATGGTTGCAGGCTACAAATAAGAAAGTTGTGAAAGCTGACGCTTATGTTGCAGGTTTCTGGTTTACTCTCGCTTCTTTGTTCCCTTCCTTTTCCGAAAATCTATTTCCAAGTTCAGTTGAATAAGTTATTCTCTCATATATGTATGTTAACAGCATGTGATGTGCCTGGAATCAAGAGATTGCTTCCTTCTCAATGGAGAGAATTGGATTTTTTCAATAATATTTATGAGCTAGTCGGAGTTCCTGTTGTCACTGTGCAACTTAGATATGATGGTTGGGTCACAGAGTTACAAGATCTAGAGCAGTCAAGGTGATTCTCCCTTACACACTGAAGTACTTGGATGTGACAAGGGTTTTGCTTTTGTGTTAAGGACCTTGTAGAAATCTTTATTTGTTTTTTTGCCTCTTTCAGACTAATGGACGGGGATATTTTTGTTTGATAGGAAATCGAAGCAAGCTTTGGGATTAGATAATCTCTTATATACTCCCGATGCAGATTTCTCTTGCTTTGCCGACCTAGCGCTTACTTCTCCTGAAGATTACTACATTGTGGGACAAGGTTCACTCCTCCAGTAAGGAAAACATACCATTTGTATAATTCAGATATATATATATATATATATATATATATATATATATATATCCTATTCGCACTAATATAGTTTTGAACTTGAGGCTGGTGCTTCTTCATCTTGCAGATGCGTTTTGACACCAGGTGATCCTTACATGCCTTTACCAAATGAAGAAATTATAGCAAGAGTGACGAAACAGGTAATTAGCTTATAAAGAACACGTTGCATACGTTAAACTAGTTAAACTGCAGTTAGAAGAAACCAATAGAAACATCAAATTCTGAACCTTAAAAATTTCAATTCAAGGTTTTGGCTTTATTCCCATCATCCCAAGGTTTGGAAGTCACTTGGTCATCAGTTGTCAAAATTGGGCAATCTCTCTATCGGGAGGGACCTGGCAAAGATCCGTTTAGACCTGATCAGAAGACACCCGTGAAGAATTTCTTCCTTGCCGGCTCATACACAAAACAAGTATGTTTGCGCAAGTGATTTTCCTATACAAGAGTGAAGAAAGAAAAATGTTGTAAATTCTGAGTTCTAAATGGCTGTACCCTTTACAGGACTATATCGACAGCATGGAAGGGGCAACTTTGTCCGGCAGGCAAGCTTCTGCGTATATATGTGATGCAGGGGAAGAGTTGGTGGGATTGCGAAAGAAGTTTACAGCCCAAGATTCTGGGGAGTACACAAAAGCTGTTAATACTACCGATGAGCTGAGTCTTGTCTAACAAATTGCCCGCCGTTCATTGGTTAGCAACTTAGCACAGAAAAACCCTCTTCAAATCAAAACGTGGAGTAAGCCGGCGAGTTTGACATGAGCTGGCTTTGTTCTTTACAAATGTTTTACAATGTTCTATATCGGTATAAAAGTATAGAAAGGTTAGTGCCATTCGTGAATCCTGCGGTGAATGTAAAACTGGTGAGCATGAAATATAATCGTCACATGTTTTTCCCTTGCACTATTTCTGTCAATAAGTACAAGCCTTGGATCACATGAGCTTTTCAGTTGTATTAGCATTTCTCTGGTACAAACGACATCGTCAAACTTTTAACATCGAACAAGAAGCGATGATTTGTCTGCTGGAATGCCCCTAACAGACTTGGCCCTGCATCACAAGTAGGCATTATACCGATGCAGACGGAAGTATCAATAAGCTCGAAAATCGCATCAGAATCCAGAGCAAGGTCAGCTCCTCTCCGAGTTGCATATGCAGTTCGAGCAAGGAAACTGTACAGGATAACCCCTCCGCTCTTGTCACTCCTCATCCTGAACAGTGCAGGATCCGAGGCGCTTTCCGGCAACCCTAATCTCCAACACATTAAGATGGTATCTGGGAATTCCTGCAGGCACAAGCTTCGTTTGAAAACTTCCTCTTATCTTCGCATCATTACCAAATTGCAGAACCGTATACGTTCCCCATTTTGCAGTCCGCGACGGTAAGCAGTAAGAGAAGCGCATGTTAGTTTCGTTCTAAGTGCGCTACGATGGACCACTGCCCTCCTCCTAAGCCAAAAATGCCGGCCATCGCATTGTTAGGACCACCGAAAGTCATGTGCCGGTTATCAAAGCCAAAACCAAATGCTACCGGAAACCTGAGAACGGTGTTGTTAGAGCTTGGGAAACCGAAGGTATCAGTTGAAAACGAGTGCAATTGGTGCATCATTCACATTGAACCCAAGTTTCATCATCGCCGGAATCCACCATTAAGTAAGGTGGATACGGTTTTGAGTCTATGGACATTCATTCAACCGCGAAGCAACTGTAACGTTATCTCAAATTAATTGCCGTCCTTCGTACATTTTCATAAATACGTGATTGACTTGATATACCAAAAAGAGTAATCACACCAAGCACACAACTTTATTGTTCAAACACAAAGTTGCTACATTTTAAAGTACATAATCTCCAAAACATGCATTTACATAAACACGTATTCATCATCTTCAACACTTGAACACAACCAGCAAACACTGAACTTTCCACCGCCAACGCCACCGCTGCCGCCTTTGACGATTTTCACTCGGACCCCTTCTCCAATTCCTGCTGAACAGCCTTCTTAGCAGCCTCGAGATCCTCATCAAAAAACATGTCCCAATGGCCATCCCAGGTGATCAAAAACTCAGTATCTTCATAGTACTTGACTCTGTGCACATCCCCCGCCGGAGTAAACAAGTAATCACCGCCGGTCAGATCGAACCTTTTCTCTTTAGTCAAATTCCACACGCTCTTTTTCCCCCACAGCACCACCAGATCGTGCCCGAACGTGTGGTGGTGCGCCGGCTCCACGCTCCCGGCCTTAAACCTAACAATCGCCGACGTCGGCGTCTCCCTCAGAATCTTCATCGACCCGCCGGGGATAATGTCGATCGGGTTCAATTCCCTGTTCTTCACCAAACAGCAGATTGCGCAAGAAGCCTCCTCGGAATCCACAATTTTATTAGCCCCTCCAATTTTGGGCATTTCTTGGATTGAATTGTCGAGGAAGGACTCGACTTCGGGCGGCCAGGGTTTGGAATCGGAAGCGGGGCAGGGGGATTTGAAGGGGGTGTTGAGCCAGGTGTCGAGGATCTCGATGGCGGAGTCGGGTGACGTGGACATGCCGGAGACGGCGAGGACGTTGGAGTTGTTGATGGATCGGGCGTTCTGGGCGTCGGAGGGAGTGAGGCACGTGGCGGCGAATACGCCGGGGAACTTGTTGGCGAAGATTGAGACTCCGACGCCGGTACCACAGGCGACGAGGCCGCGGATCTCCTCGGAATCGGAGGTGGAGGAGGAGACGCGGCTGCCGACGTCAGCGGCGATGGAGTAGTAGGAGGAGGTACCCAGGTCTTCGACGTCGATGTTGAGGGAGCGGAGGTGGGACACCAAGGCGTCCTTAAGAGAGCAACCGAAGGAGTCCGCGCCGGCTATGATTTTCAGTGGGCGTTTGCTGGGAGCTTCTTCGGCCATTGATGAACTCTGAAGCTTTGTGATTGGAAACGGTAGCGTTTTAGAGAGAGTGAGAGACTGGTATCAGTGGGGAAGAAGATGTATATCTGGACCCAAAACGTCGTCCAGAACCAAGGTAGGAATCGAAGTCTTTGTCAACGTCACTGTAAACTGTTGTCTTACTTACACGTGTTATGCAATCATTAGACTGGTTTAATCGTATTATCGCATCCAAAACAAGGTTAACCACTTAATTATACCAAGTGCATTTTTGCTGATGGGATGGCAACAGGAGGAATTGGATTCAGATATGTCATCTTCTTACCCAAATTCGTTTATTTTCTTCAAACTCAAATCCGTAGAATTCCAGAACTGGTTTTCTCTATAACGGAACCCGTCGGATGACCCATTTTTTATTGGAGAACGGTTTTTCCTATTATGATATTTATATATTTATTTATATTTTTAACTAACTGAGAATATTAAAAAAAACGATATTAAATAAATTGCTATTATTAATACAATGGATACAATGCATCTAATTAATTAAAAATTTATATTACTAAGAAAACATTTACACTCTTAAAAATTATAAGCATTAATTCCTATTATTAATGATAAAAAAGTAAATAATTAATTTCATATTTAATAATGCATGATTATTAACAATCCATTTTTATATAATAAATATTCATATTTTTTTATTCATAAATGAAATGGTTTGGTTTCGGGTATGGGCTTGGGATGGATACCCCAATAATCATAACCGAACCCGAAATCGAAAAATTTACTCGACGGTTATCCATAATCATAAAATACTCGAAATTTTATACCCAAAACTGAACCATTCGGATCAGTTACTTGCGGGGATCGGATTTGACGGATTAAATTGCCATCCCTAGATGAGGTAATGCTTATCTCTTATTGATTACCGTTTTAAATTAATTTAATTTCATTAAATAAAAAACGAATTTTAAAAATTAAACTAATTTAACAGTAATTAGTGTTGCTTCTTTACGGTTGGAAAAAGCCTCAAGTTAGAATTTGTCGTTCCCGCTAATAAAAAGTGAGAATCATAATGTAAATTGCTCAGATGATTTCAAATTTGAATGATAATTAACAAAAGATAATCTTTGGGTTGAATGGGCTCTCTATTCCAACAGGCCCAATTCCTCCTACCAAATATAACCCGACCCGACCTTGGCAGTTCACCAACTGTAATAACAGACTCGGTGAAATATGAACCCACCAAAACAATGGCTTCCTCCGCTCCCGCAGTCGATGGTAACAGAACATTCAAATTTCGATTTTCAAATTTACTTCAATTCCTGATCGTTGGTTGCTTTCTGATCCATTTATGACCGTTCATTACCCGGGCAATCCACGGCATCCGGTGCTCCCCCGCCGCACCGGATAACAACAGAAGCAACAATCACAGGAGAGAAACCCCGCAGGTTTTGAAAATCGCCGTGAGCGGAATCACTGAGCTTCTCAGGCCCTCTCCTCCTTCAACAAAACAACCAGGTACTTTTTTTTCCTAATTTACCCTTCCCCTCACTTTCCACTTGTTTCCCCATGGAATGAACGAGGATAAAAATGGAGAACTATAAAAAGTTAGGAAATTTAACTAAAATTAAAAAAATAATATTTTTACACTAAAAAATCAACCCTGATAATATGCATTTTACCCTTTATTTTGTCCTTATCGTCAAAACTCAAAGTTTTCAAACCATTTTCATTAATTTTTCTTAAAATGTTCTTTACAAAACTTCTTTTTTTTTAATCGAAAAACACTTAGACAACTTTTCTTATCGTTAAGGATAATTTTTTGTATGATTAGGATAAAAAACAAAAAATGAGTCACACTTCACGGTTTTGAATTGAAAAATGTCCTTAATAATAAAAAATTTGTCCTTAATGATAAAAAAATTGTTTCTGAATAAAAAAGTATTTCGAGGAGCTTTTTATCCTCTAAAGATTCAATGTTTGGGATTTTCACGCAAATTAATCTATTCGAGCATTCGATTGTATGTGTAAATTTGAGAATTTGGATTAATTCTATGTGAAATTGTTGAATATGATGTTTTAAATCATCCTTAATTGTACAATCTTCTTGGCAAAGGTTGTTCCTTTCTAACTTCTTCTAGTGGTTATGAGCATACTATATAAAGTCATGAACCTTCAATATTGGTCACAATTAATTGTCTGATAAATTTGGTGGTGAAGCGAGCTCTTCAGATTTCGCTTCTTTTAATTTTGGATAAATTACATAAAATTATCTTAACTATTGGGTCAATCACAGCTTCATACCCCGTCTTTAAAAAATATCAATGTCATACCTCATCTACAAATGTGTTACAATTTCAAACATTCCGTCAGTTGTCTGTCAATTCTTTCGTTAAATGCTGACGTGGAGATGAATGGAGTGAATGACAACGGAACCGATGAGTTTTCAGTTTTCGGCATTGATGATGTCGTAACGATTCTCAAATCTGATTTCGAGAATGCGTATTTCGTAACAGTTACCTACCTGTACTGTTTGAATGAGAGCTTCCTTGCGCATGACTGCGTATATGAATGTATCGTTAACCGATTGGTTTCCTTTTTTTTTTTTTTTTTTTTTTTTTGTTATTTCACACTTCTACTTTGTGTTTGGTAAGAGGGATTTTCACTTCTGCAATTTATACAGAAGATTGTATCTTCGAAGATCCAACTGTTAGATTTCGAATTTTCGAGGCAAGAAAATTCTGCGGTTCTCTTTCGTTTCACTTCTACTTGATATAAACTGCAACATGCAGGTATGTAAAAATATGTGTCTGCTTGTCATACACTTCGAATTCGATTGCATGCTCAATGTTTCCCCTACTTGTTTCTCTTCCCTGGTCATAAAGTTTTTGGTCAATCCGCTAATTTTCATGGTCTTTGGCTGGAGTGACATACCTACAGGGCGTCAATTTTTATCGGTCTTGCGGGATTCTTTGTAACTCCTAGCTGTCTGTTCATCGTAACAATTTTAATCGGTCTGCAGGACATACCTAAAACTTCCATGGAGGCCTCTCATTTGCATCGATGGAGGTACGTTCTATGACTAAGACTATAAGTTTAAAGTGAGAACAAAAGCGCTTTCATATAAGGCACGCCGAGACCAAGAGCTGGAATGTCTCTGGCCACCTGTTCACACCTGCTTATGGAAGATCCAATGACTGAACACGGTAAGTCTTCGAACTTCGAACGAGGTTCACAATCATTTTACGTTAAGATCAATAGGAGTTGCTAATCAGGACCACCACGGAAAGACCAACATTATGTTCACTGGTACCGGTCGAACTTTCAGTTGTCGACATTCGATTCCGTAGTTCCAACATTTGAAGTCCTGTATCTCGGCGAAACTTGAAAGTCTGGTTAGATTTTGCTTCTTTTGATAGTACTAGACCTTACTTGGTACGCTTTGTTTTTGGTATTTCTTTTGACTTGTGCCAATGTAACGACGTAGGGGAATCCAAATGTAAACATAATACCTATTCCTGTATGTGGGCTTTTGTAGATGCAGAAGTTTATGGTTGTATATTATTTATGTCGATTAAAATTCTGTCTAGTTCTGTATAGACTTTTCTAATGCTAAAATATACTGGAATACACGTGATTTGGTTGTTATTTTGTTCCATTTCGGGTGCTTTCTACCCTTTAGCATCTGGCCAAATAATGTGCTGTGTAAAACCACCACGAAATTTTCCCGGCAACTTTGTGCTTGTAACTATTGCAGACAATTGCAGAGTCAATAAATCATATTACAATATTTACCAAGGTGCTAAATTTTTCAATTTTATTTGCTTTCTACAGCAGAGAAAATAAGAGATGAAATTTTTGTAGTGCTTATGATGATAACAAAGAGAAGAGATCCTCTCTGAATCTTTCTCCAAGATCATTAGATCAAGTGATTCAGACATTTGAAATTTTATCTAACAGTCCACTTATTTTGATCTTTTAAAAATTATAATAATTTTTTACCGTTAGATGAAATTTCAAATACCAGAATCATTTTATTCGTTAGCCTTGTAGAAAAAATTTGAAGAAGATCTCTTCTCGATTACAAAGGGGCAGAAGTGTACGTTTGCAATGATGAGCTCCTCATGTTCTTGTAGATGCATTGGGAGCTCCTCATGTCCTTGCGCAGAAAGTCGAGGCCTTTTTGTTAAAGGGCATTAAAAAAGGCTACTAGAGAATCCTAAGATGAATAGACTTCAAAATTTGAAAATTATAGTGATTAGACTGCATTTATACCCTACATGTGTGGGTAATTACATTGGTTAGAAAGAATCTTTTTTCTCTATACACAGGAGCGGGTGTGTTTATAATAGAATATCACTTGTATATAAACAAAAATGCATATATACTTATATAAAAAGAAATAGAAATGATTTCAAGATGCTTTTGGAAGTTCCTTTTTGTTTTGCACAACTTATTTTGTAGATTCTTATTTTTTAGGTTTTTTTGGTCAAAATGATCCATAAGGTTTGGATAACACATCACTTTGGTACATGAGATTGAAAATCAATAGAAATGGTCGCTGAGATTATTCACCATCCATTATTTTGGTCATTCCGTTAAAAATTCCGTTAAGTATTTCGGAGCTCCTGGTCGAAAGTTTGGGCAATTTTCAAAGCTTCGTAACTCAATCATTTTTTAACCAAATTCGACCCATAATATATCAAAATGAAGATAAAAAAAGTGTAGAACAATATTATAAATATTTGGAAGACCATTGATTGCCAGAGATGGCCAGAAAATAGTCTAAAAGGTGACTGGTTTACAGGAAATCTGGAAAACTCGCCTAAAACTAGGTAAATTTTAAACGTTCATAACTTCTTCAATACTCAACGAAATCAAGTGATTCAAAAACAAAAATCATATTTCTCGATGAGATAAAGAGAATGCTAACTTTCTTGATGGATAAATCTCCATGGTTTGGCCAGAAAATGGCTTGAAAGTGTCTATCTTGGTCTTAAGTTAGCCACTTTCGAGCAGTTTTTCTGGCCAAACCACTATGAATTAGTTGTAGAGAGAGGTACCATTCTCTTCTTCTCGTTGAGAAGTATGATTTTTGTTTTTGAATCACTAGCTTTTGTTGAGTATTGAAGAAGTTATGAACATTTAAATTTTACCCAGTTTTCGGTGAGTTTTTCAGTTTTCCCGCGGACCAGTCATCTTTCAGGCTATTCTCTGGCCATCTCCAGCAACCATTGGACTTCTAAATAGATATAATATTATCCTACATTTTCATATCTTCATTTTGATATATTATGGGTTGAATTTGGTTAAGAAACGATTTAGTTACAAAGCTTTGAAAATTGCCCAAATTTCCAGTCAAGAGCTCCGGAACACTTAACGGAATTTAAAAAGAAGAATCAAAATAATGAATGGTGGACAATTTCAGGAATTATTTCTATTTATTTTCAATCTCAGGGACTAAAGTGATCTGTTATGCAAATCTCATGGACCATTTTTGCTAGAAAGCCTACTTTTTAAGTTTTATTTGAAGGGGTTTGGTCATATGTCATACCCCTCTTTTTCAGGAAGGATAAGGTTTATGTCACCTTTTTTTTTTCGTGTTCTTCTTCTTTTTTTTTTTTTTTTTTTTTTTTTTTTTTTTTTTTTTTTTTGTGGCTCTATAAAAGGTAAGATTTACATCCGCATAATTAGATGTAACATTTTTTTTTATATCAATAAATTTTCTCGAGATTCTCAAAAAACAAAAAAATGGAGAGGTATGCGGTGAAAGTAGAAAAAGAGTGTTCGGATGTCATTTCCAAAAGGAAAAACACCAGAAATTTACAACATGAAGGAGTAATTATTTCCAATTTCAAACCATCACATTGGAATTTAAGAGATAAAGTGTCAATCCCTCTTCCAAGCATACAACAACAGAGAAAACCCTCCATTACTACCACATGACCTAGTTGATGAAGAACATGAACTCCTCCCCCCATCACTACTTTCCTCTGCCCACTGCAGCACGCTCGAGCACGATGGTGATGGAGACAGCGATGCGATTGACGGCACTGTTGTCGAAGCAGTCGACATTGACAAGCTCTTCCTCATCAACTTCTTTTCAGGACCTACCATTTCCGGCCACACTCCACCATCGCCGACTTGAAATACAAACACACCATGACCGTTCCCATTACTACCACCTTCATTATTAACCCAATTGAAGACATCCCAATAAAATTCAAATTCTACTCCGCCAACAAAAATCTTCTCATTGCCTCTGAATTTCCAAGCCAACCTTTTGACAACCAGGCTTGTTATTCCATCTACTTTTAGTCGAAGTGTACCTTCACTGCACTCTATTCCAATTTCGTGTTTGGATCCCAAGAACTGAGCTCTGGATATGTAATTCCTGTGTCCAAACACATGTTCCCGCCTTGACAGTAGTGCTGGTTTGCCGAGCTTGTGAGTTGGAACTAACCCTGATCGCCTCTTCAAATCGTCCAGAAGATCCCCAAGAAAGAATTCAAGCCTTGCATTGCAAGAAATGGCGATGTAGAAGCATGACTCGGCCTCGGCGGAGTTGTGAGTGAAGTCAGCCCGGGTGAAGTCCCAGTAGAACTTGATTCTTTTGTATTTGCTGTGGGTTAGAGAGATGGATTTGGAGCCCGGTCTGGTTCGAAAGAATGAGAAGGTTGATGGGTTGAGGGAGACGGTGAAGGAGAACGAGTCAGAGGCATGGATGGTGAGGGAGTGAGAGAAGAAGGTTTTGGACCAGGTGAGAGTGAGATATGTGGGAGAGTTGCAAAGCTGAGTTTGGTATATGCAGGTTATGAGGTTTTGGGGTGCTTGAGAGGTGCTTGAGGGTGTGCTGGGCTGGCTGAAACATGCTGGGATCATGATGTTCCAATTTTGGTGTTTGTTGCTCAAGCCATAAGCAGTTGGAGAATTGTGTGGGAAGTTTTAAGGTGGTGAGAGAGAGAGAGATTGTGTGTTTGGAGGTCTAAAGGATTAGTCTTTGGCTTGGTACTGATGGGGAGTTTGGGATATTGAGGCTTTGCTACCTGCTATTTAGAGTAAATAATAAGAGCTTTTGGCTTTTGGCTTTTGGCTTAGAATGTGGTTGTGGCTTTGAATCTTGAATGATAAAAGTTATAAGAGGATCCCATCATCACAATCATCAGCACCAGTAGCTAAGCCTTACATTCATGTTATATCCTCCTTAATTTGCGCCTTTGACAGACTTTTAAACTCTCTCTCTCAGGAATGGGAGTGAGCTGGGTTGCACTAGGGTTTCATTTGGGTCACAGTTGCAGGTGACTTCTGGACTTTTTTTTTTAGTTTACTTTAAGGGTAAGTAGGGCTCTTTTTTCTCTCTCCCTATATATAATTTGTTTTTCTTCTTGTTTTGCCGTCTCAAAAGGAGATTTTAGAAGATGGGGCCTTGGGGAAAGGAGAGAGTTCCCCAACCACTTTTGTATGATAGCTTCAGTTTCAGTCAATCAAGTGGAAATGCATCATATGATATCAAGATGACGACACACCAACGAAACACAGCAAGTAGATTGTAGGCAGCAACTTCTTGTATTATTACAAAACAAAAGTATTGAGCAGAAATACAAGTAAATAGAATCGACTACAAATTTCTAATCTAAAATTAAACGAAATGACATTGAATGTGAACAAACAATTATTTGCATGCAAACAATAGTTTGATGTCCTTTTATTAACGTTGTAATGTCCTTTGAATTATGTTTAAGATGAAAAGTTTGTAATCAGTTTCATTCAGTTTGTGTAACCTTCCCGGGTTGATCAAGATGGCAAGACACCAATATTGGTGTCACTGATGAAACATGGCAAGTAGATTGTAGACTGCAACTTCTCGAACACAAAAAAACATGATATTTTGCTTTGATTTTCAACAACTAATCGTTTTGAATGCCGATGAGCATGCTTAATATTTAGCCAAATGAGGACGAAACAAGTGTCTCTTGGGACGTTGCACGCTGTTTGGCAAATTCCCGGCACAATCCCGATCTCCCAGCCAGGGATCGTTCTTCTTTTTAGGCTGCATGGATTTGATCCAAGTTTACCAAAATCTGGTTAAGCTACAACTAACCTACCTAGTTTACGATCCAAACGAGGAGAAACTAGAAAATCTTGGATGCGGAGAGCCATGCTATGTCATATGTTCGTCCAAGACGCAAACCGGGCTATTTTGATGAATTTGAATGCAGGAGTCTCTCATATGTGTTTTAGACAGACAGTTGACAGAACGACACCCGCACTTAAATACCCCAAAGAATTATTAAGATAATTCATGTGCAATATGTACTTTTGTGCCTATACTTCTATAAACCTAGAACGAAGGTTATAGTTCTGCCAACTAACTATTTCGTAGAGAAAGACAACAATGTTAGAAAACCAGTCTTTTATAATCTTAGATTGATTTACCAAAATTAGTTTCCCTCCGTATAGGAAACGAACTTCTATATTATGGGGGTAATATCATGTCTTAACATTTCTTATTACAGGTAATCATGACATTTCTCATCACGTGCGGGTGATGTATAACAATCTTCCTAAATCTTTCATTACGTGACTTATAGATCTTTTAAAAAATAGGTTATTTTATCTTGTAAATTTCGTGATTTTTATACTATATGTAGTTTTGAAATAAAACCATATATTGTTGTTAAAAGGATCGGCGAACGCTAAGGTAATAAAAATTGCTCCATATATACCATCTGAAAAATAAAGAAGTATTCCAAAATTTTCAGTTTCACATCTTTTTGCCTATGAATATCTTATTCCAAGCATCATTCATTTACAATCTTTGGTAGCTATATGTATAGAAAATACCATAAAATAAAAAGATCATGAAAATTAATTGATCTCAGCTATTTGCATGTTCTTTGCCTTTTCATGTTCAGCAGCCCTCATGAGGAGGCTGCCATGTTCAAGCGCCACCAGCACGGGCGAACCCCCGATTCCCCACGCCACCGCGACCATTGTCTCAGCCAACAGAGTCTTAAACTCTTGACCATCGATCACACCATTTTTATCCGCATCGAATCTGTCGAATATTTCATCAACTTTTCACAAATATTTTACCCATGGTGTTCAAACCTCAAATTTTGAGCCTTGTTCAAGAATGAGCTTGTCTTCGTTCTTCACGTTTGTGAAAGAGCATTGCTATACTCAATCATCTATTCTATTTTTCACCCACCTTATAACTAAAATAAACATAAAAAAAAAAACAATATAAAGTGAGTGAAAATTTTGACAATGAGTGAGCATAATAGCACACACTCAAAAACATAAAGGCAGATGTGTAGTAAAAAATTTGACTAGTTTCATTTTCACAAGTCATTTCACATCATCCAAAGCCTGTTATCAGTAATACTACTATGAATAATGTTGGTGACACCAAATTTTATAAATCGGATGACGTGGTTGCTGATGATTGGATTATTACTTAAGTATTAATTAACGTGTTTATTTTTTATTGATGACACATCACATCAACAAAGAAAGTTGCATATACCTTATACAATCATGTACGCAACATTTATTTTTAACTTGACATTGAGAATGATACAACTGAAATGGTTGCAGAGTTGGATATCACTGATCATGATGAAATCATAATAGCAGATATGATTGATGGGGAAATTTCCCTTTTGATACTAGATCGGTAGTCAGGACCAAGGCCAGTGGAAGCACCCTGGTTTGCTAATCAAAGGTTTTGTCACAATTGCGTTTCTAATCACACCTCTGGTGGTTCCATGATGGAGTATCTGTCGAACCACCCTAGCGCCAAGGACTTGCAAGCTATTTAATGCTGTAAACACGTTGTCCTTCAATGCACGGTTGTTTGAGGAGATTACATACCAAGTAGATGAGTCTGAGCATCATGTGAGAAAGGCTGCACGAAAAAATCAAATCCAATTACAGTACTAAAAAATTTGGGGATAGCAACAACATGAAAGTCGTGAACTTAGTTCAGTGGGCTTGGGACAAAGTCATCCTGACAAATAATATGAGAAAATGGATCGCTTAGTCATAGTTGATCCTAAGTTGGAAAACACTACAACATCGGGCAAAATACATGCCAATCTCTAGCTTCTTCATTGCCTCCAGTTTTGCATTGACTTTCAGAAGCTCAACGTTGTACGCGACCAGCTACGATCGATTGGCCTCGAACGCCTGGCATTTGATCACACTCATTTGAGTCGGCTTCGGCGACCCCCCAAGGCTCCCAATTGTAGGCACGTGCAAGTGTTTTGCATCGAGATTACTGATCTCTGAGACTTTTATACCATGAAAGACGGTAGAATCAGCAATCATTGCACCAGCGGCGATCGTGTGCTCCGCTGCATAAAGATGTCGGACCCGTTTGTTATGGCAGATATTGCTTCACAGTGCAGATCATGGTGAGAAATCTTCAACTTTTGGAGTGAAAATATATTCAAATGGCTTTTCTTGGTTATAGTTTTACTTTCCCAAACTCCTAGACCACAGTCCAACATTTTATTGTTGTTCCGACATTGCTTACTGCCATAGCTTCATTAGGTTAAAGTAGTGTGAAAGAAAACACTTATCAGTATGCATTCAAAATCAAATACCTAAAAAAAAACTCAAAGTGTGTACTAAAAAGAATCTGAAGAAGTTTTTTATATTGGTAGACAATGCTTAAAAATGTAACCAAAATGAACTTACCTACTAATTTTCTCAAAACCGCTCATCCCAAAAGTGCTTGACATGCAATCCTCCCTTTTTTTTTTTTATTTTTTATTTTTTATTTTTATTTTTTTTGTGTTTCATCGTCTTCTGATTGTATTAATGTGGTACTTTGAATCTCCCAAGTCAAAAAACAACTTTCGTGTTCTTTTTTTTTTTGTTGATAAAAAGTTTAGGGGAGGTGAGGTGAGGTTACTCATCCCAGTACTAGGACATTTTACAAGCTTTTTTTACGACTTACAAAGCCTATTTTTTGGTTTTTACCAATTACTCATCAAGAGAGATTGACTACAATGGAACTCAAACTTAGACTTTGATCTAGCAAAGAGAACGATCTTTACGAATTCAACCAATTCTCGTTGATAACTTTTGTATTCTTTTTCGAATGCACATGAAATAGGCTTATTAGAGAAACACTTTTGTATGACTCACTGCACATTAAAATTTAATGATCATGACAATTTCCATGAATAAGCACTTTTGTATTGCTCACTACAAGCCTATTTGCTTGAGATGAAGACTTTGATTTTCTTATCAATTTTTGGCACAAAATCCATTCTAATTTGTAGAAAACAATTTTGGATGCAAAGTTATTACAGGCCCATCCCAAATTTTATGAAATATTAGGCTTAATAAAAATTGTTTTTGGGCTGACCAATTTGAGTATCATCTTTAACTTCATAACTTTAGGCCCAATAATTAATTATATCCATTAAAACCGTCTTTGGTTGCTAAATTTAAGTAAGTGTGATGTTGAGTAGATTAATTTTTTTCAGATCGAACTTACAAATATGAGAGGTGTTACTGATGTAAAATAAGTACATTAATCAACACTTAAATAACAATTAAATCATCAACAATCACATCATATAATTTATAAAATTTTATCTAAATAATTAATCTTCTTAACATTAACAGATAGATAGTAATCAGAGGCATAGGATCCCCACTATGTACCCTAACCCCCAAACATCACACATGTCCATTTGGCAACACAAAATTGAGTTATCCCTATGCCAAATTTCGTACATTTATGTTTTTGGTTAACATAGATTCCACGTGTACCCCAGCCATTGGTACAATACTGCCTACCCATGCATACCTCCATTTTTGTAACTTAAAATTAAAGGAAAGCTAATGAAAGAGATTTGAAAACTTTGAGTTTTAACGATAAAGACAAAATAAAGGGTAAAGTGAATAGTACCATAATTGACTTTTTAGTGTAAAAAAGTGGTTTTTCGTTAAAGTGAATAGTACCGTGGACTTTTCGGTAAAACTCCCTAAAATTAACGAATCTAACTACTGTTAATAGTCTAGCAAATCTGTGGGCGGTTTGATAATTGTTTTCGGTTCTCACCAAAATCAAGTTAAATTTTGAAAAATTATAAAAGTAGCTTTCAGATTTTTATTTTAGAATTTGAAAACTTACAAAATCAAGCTGAATCTTAAAAAAAATTATATATATATTTAAACAGCAACGGAAAAGAAAATAGCTATCAAATCGTTTCCAAATAAGATAAAAAAAAATTATGACTGATTTTTAATGAGAACGTGGTTTTATTTTGGTGGTCAGCAATGTTGTCACCATATAATGTTTTACCACAGTGATAGAAAATTATTATACTTATAAATAATGTGCGCGTTCAATTCCTACAAGTGTCAAGAAAAAAGAAAAAGATCGAGGGTAATGACAAAAGAGTGAATCGATTGGTAATTCTTGGTGAGTATACATCTTGGTGAATTTGACTACAAAAAAGGTTGTAGGTATTGAAAGAGAAAGGAGAGCGTGCACGAATATAAGTTTAAAGTCCAAGTCTTAAGTCTTTACGCAAGAACATTGTATAAAATATAATACTTTTTCTTGTAGGGGTTGGTATTGAATTTGTAAACAAAATGATCTTCTAGAATTAGAGTTTAGTTTTTGGATAAATACAATTTTTAATCCTTCGGAAAATACTCTAATTTCTACCTATCGACTAAGAATTCGACTATTTCATGAATTAATATGGGTATGCAAATACAAAATTTCAAGGTAAATGGAGCAATGGTCACTGAGTTTTAGTTCCATTCGAGTTTTGGTTCTTGAACTAAAAATTCATGAATATTAATCCATGAACTTGTTATAATGTGAAGCAATGGTCATTTTGACTAACTCATTAGAACTTCGATCCAAAATAAAGGGTTTAAAGGGACAAACAATTGATGAAAATTCTAACGGAGTTGGCAAAAAAGACTATTGCTCCACATTATAACAAGTTCCGAGACCAATATACTCATGAATTTTTAGTTCCAAGTACCCAAAGCTCTCTAATTTAGCCAAAATTCAGGGATTCTTACTCCAACTTTCTCTAAAACCTCTCATTTCTTTACTACAAATCGAACATTATTTACTTTTGTACTTGAAGTTTTACGTCTGATCTCCTCGTCCAATTTTATTTGTATATAAAAAAAAATTGTATAAGTTTTGCTAGATTAAATAGTTTTTAGTCGTGATTCATGTGAATTAAAATTTTAATATATCAAAGTTGTGTTAACCAATGCACGTGTTTGGTAGTTTGGCTTAATATGTGCTCTACGTTATTTTAATCCTCCCAAATATTAATTCAACCAATGTATAATGTTGAAGGAGATCGAGCTTAGAATGGAATGTTGATTCTGTCAATATTGTAAATAACTTCTTTCCCTATTTGTGAATGATTTAGCTTGATCGTAGGAACCTTATTAGGATACTTTTGTAACTATAAGTTTGTGACTCTGCCTCTTGAATAAGAAAACAAATCAATTCTATATCATTTTCTTACATGGTACTAGAGCATTGATCTGGGCAATAAACAAAACACAGCAAAACCCTAGCCGCCCTCTATGGCAGAGATCAAATCATCGGATACGGCTTCGGGAACCAAATGGGATAATCCCAATCACCAACTACACCTTCATCATTCAGACCAACCCGGTGCTATCCTTGTGCCGCAGCCCTTGGTCGAAGATAATTACAGCACATGGAAACAATCCATGACTATGGCCTTAACGGTCAAAAACAAAATCGGACTCGTAGACGGTTCGATCGAGAAGCCGAGTCACAAGGATCCAAATGAATGGCAGCAGTGGAATCGTTGCAATAATTTGGTCTAAACTTGGCTGCTATGGTCGATGTCGAAAGACATCGCCAGCAGCGTGATTAATTGCAAGAATGTTAGGCAGATGTGGCTGGAATTACAGGAGAGATTCTCACATGTGAACGTGGTTCAACTGTTCAATATCGAGAACGCGATTCATGATTGTGTGCAGGGAAATATGTCCGTGGGATCTTACTTCACGAAATTGAAGGGACTATGGGATGAACGTGATGCTTTGTGCACCTTCCTGATTTGCACCTGTGGATCGGTCAAGGAAGTGGCTGCATATTTGGACACGCAGAAAACCATGAAGTTCCTCATAGGTCTCAATGAATCGTATGCAAGTGTTCGCAGCAACACTTTGCTGCAAGATCCCTTACCCATAGTAAACAAGGCGTACTCCCTAGTATTGCGGCATGAGAAGCAATCAGAAGTGACAACGGGTAAAACTCAGGCACAACTGGATGTGGCCATGTTTGTCGTGAAGAATTCTAGCCGTGAATCCGAAGGAGAAAAGGGTGAGTTGAAGTGCACCAAGTGCAACAAAACCAACCACACTGCCAAGAATTGCCGTGCACACCTAAAATGCGCATTTTGCAGATGGAAGGGTCATACAGCCGAGTATTGCCACAAGAAGAAGGCAACGGCTGAGGCCGAGTTTAGTGTGGTGATTTCCAAAGGGAACCAAGCAGCAACATGTATGATAGAGAGGAATGAGATCCAATTCCCATTTACCGTTGAAGAGTGCAAACAAATATTGAGTGTGCTGCAAAACAGGTCCTCCTCTACTAATCATGTTGCTAATTCCACAACCCATGAAGGACTTTCAGGTAAAGCCTTTTCACTTAACTCTAATGGCAAACAAAATACTTGGATTTTAGACAGTGGCTGCACGGACCATATGATTTATGATCCCAACCTGTTTTCTACCTTGAGACCGGTTACTAATCACACAGTCAAATTGCCGAATGGGTCTATGGTACAAGTGACTCACATTGGCAAAGTTGTCTTGTCCCCCAATTTAATTCTTGAGAACGTTTTGTGTGTCCCGTATTTCAAATTGAATTTGATTTCAATTAGCAAGTTAGCCAATTCATCTTGTATAACCATTTTTTTGAACCAATTTTGTATCATACAAGACCTTCGCTTGGGGAAGATGATTGGGACTGGAATTGAACGGGAGGGCCTCTACTATCTCGATCGAGCCAAGAAAAGAATATGTAATCAAGCACAAAAATCCAATCCAACCCTTTGGCACCAACGTCTTGGACATCCATTTACCAGAGTTCTTCCCTTATTCTCTTTTTCAAATTTTAAATATGCCTCTTGTGATATCGACGAGTGTGCAATCTGCCCTTTGGCTAAACAAACAAAACTTCACTTTCCTTCAAGTTCAATTACTACTCATTCTAGTTTTGATTTAATTCATATTGACATATGGGGTGGTTATAAAGTTGCTTCCATTTTGGGTGCAAAATATTTTCTTACCATTGTTGATGATTACACTAGATGCACATGGATTTACCTTATGAAACACAAGTCTGATGCTATGACTCTTCTAGTTAATTTCATCAATATGATTGTCACTCAATTTGATTCCAAAATTAAGGTCATACGTAGTGACAATGGCCTTGAATTCAAACTTGGAAGCTTTTATGCAGATAAAGGTATAATGCATCAAACTAGTTGTATTAATACACCACAACAAAATGGGGTTGCTGAAAGAAAACATAGACACTTGTTAAATATGGCACGTGCCTTGCTTATTCAGGCCAGGCTTTCAAATCGTTTTTGAGGGGATGCCATTCTCACATCTGCATACCTTATAAATCGAACACCTACTCCTCTTCTCAATGGCAAAACCCCATATGAAAAATTGTTTAATAAAACTTCCAGTTATTCACATTTGTGTGTTTTTGGTTGCTTGTGTTTTACTTCTACCCATGCACAAAATCGTTCGAAATTTGATCCACGAGCATCTCGGTGTATTTTTCTGGGATATCCTTATGGTCGGAAAGGATATCGCATTTTTTATCTCAGTCAACAAAAGGTGCTCGTTTCTCGTGATGTGAGTTTCTTTGAAAATGTGTTTCATTTCCTACTTCCTCACCAATCCGTTGCATCACCACCTAATCAAACTTTACCCAGCATTCCCCTCTTGACCATGGACTCCCTCTCCAACACCTATCTGCCCACCCCTCTTGATGGGCTAACTCCACCCACCGGCCCACCTGACCACACTTTACTCAACACACCCATTGCAGACCTCACAGATATGTCTTCTCCCTCACCAGTCGCTCCCTCACCCGTCGCTCCCTCACCAAACCCTTATTCTTCCTCATCGACACCCGCACCTACCCCATCTTCGTCGCCAACACCTACTAACCCAGCTCTGTGCTGCGGCGGTTACTCGACTCGGCCGCCTGCCTATTTGCAGGACTTTCAACTCGAGACTAACCTCCCTTCAAGGACCGCCCCAACGTCATCCACGAACTTGGTCACCCGTTCAGGTACGACTCACCCAATCTCTCAGTTTTTGTCTTATGCTCACCTTTCTCACCATCACAAAACATATGTTGCCCAACTTACCCTCCTTAAAGAACCTATGAGTTTTTCTCAGGCAGTCAAAATCCCACAATGGCGTGCCGCCATGAAATCTGAGATTGATGCACTACAGGCTAATGGGACTTGAGCTTGGTGCCGTTGCCACCTAATAAACGGCCGATTGGCTATAAGTGGGTGTATAAGGTGAAATTGAAGGCTGATGGAATGGTCGAACGCTACAAAGCCCGCTTAGTGGCAAAGGGATACAGTCAAGTTGAAGGCATTGATTACCGGGAAACTTTTGCCCCGGTTACCAAACTAGTAACCGTCCGTGTCCTACTTAGTGTGGCCTCTCTGCGTGGCTGGCATCTCCACCAATTGGATGTCAACAACGCATTTTTGCATGGCTACCTTGATGAGGAGGTGTTCATGTCTTTGCCTTCCGGTTTCGGACGAAAGGGGGAGAATCGGGTTTGTCAATTACACAAGTCATTGTACGGTTTAAAACAGGCATCTAGGCAATGGTTTATCAAGCTGTCTATTGCCCTCAAAGCCACGGGATTCCAGCAGTCACGATCCGACTATTCTCTGTTTGTCCGAAATCGTCAAGGCAACTTCCTGGTGTTGCTTGTATATGTTGATGACGTCATACTGGCAAGGAACAATTTGGAGGATATAGAGAACACAAAATTATTCTTGGCCAACCAATTCAAGCTTAAGGATTTAGGGCAGCTGAAGTATTTCCTCAGCATCAAAGTTGCCAGGTCACGGCATGGAATTAGTTTGTCGCAATGTAAGTATGCCTTGGAAATTTTGGATGATGCTGGATTTTTAGGTGTCAAACCTTCTCGGTTTCCTATGGAACAGAATTTATCACTCACACAATTCAATGGAAGGTTATTAGATGATGCTTCGGCATATAGAAGAATGGTTGGGAGGTTGATATATTTGACCATAACTAGGCTGGACCTGACTTACGCCGTGTATGTACTGAGCCAGTTCATGGATTAGCCACAGCAACCGCATCTGGAAGCAGCCCATAAGGTGCTTAAGTACATTAAGCAAACACTGGGTCAAGGTATCCTGCTACCATCTACAGGGTCACTCCAATTGCGGGCATTCTGTGATGCCGATTGGGCACGATGTAAAGACACAAAGAGATTAATCACGGGATACTGCATTTTACTTGGGCAAGCACCAGTCTCTTGGAAGACTAAGAAACAAACAACGGTATCACGTTCAAGTGCGGAGGTCGAGTATCGTTCCATGGCTACCACTTGCTGCAAAGTCACATGGTTGAAGAACATTTTGAAGGATTTGGGAGTTGATCACACACAGCTAGTAACCTTGTTTTGTGACAATCAGGCGGCCATACATATAGCATCGAATCCAGTGTTTCATGAGAGAACCAAACACATAGAGATAGATTGCCACCTGGTTCGAGAGAAAATTCAAGGAGGGATGATTCGGACAGCTCATATTCGAACTACAAATCAGCCGGCTGATTTATTCACTAAGCCATTAAGCTCGACACAGTTTGAAGTGCTACTTGGCAAGTTGGGTGTCATAAACATACACTCCAACTTGAGGGGGAGTGTTGAAGGAGATCGAGCTTAGAATGGAATGTTGATTCTGTCAATATTGTAAATAACTTCTTTCCCTATTTGTGAATGATTTAGCTTGATCGTAGAAACCTTATTAGGATACTTTTGCAACTATAAGTTTGTGGCTCTGCCTCTTGAATAAGAAAACAAATCAATTCTATATCATTTTCTTACATATAATGGACTGATTGTATATTCTAATTCCCTAAATTTTGTTTTTTGTTTGGTGTACCAATCCCCTTTGATTTTCAAATCTCTCCGTTCTATAGAAAATAAAAATAAAAGTAAAAATAAAAATCCAGTCTCGTGGCTTCTTATTTAGCTAAAGGTTGAGATGAAAATTTAAAAATTTATTGAGACTGATGTACATACATTTTTTTTTTTAATTTATAGTCACTTAGTATTACAGTGTAATGTTTTTTCTCTTTACTTGTAAGTGTGAGGTCTTATGTTCAATTATCACTAAAGACGAATTTAAACCACATCATTAATAACTCATTGTCAGACTTAGCTCATCCCTTTAGCGTAGATAATATTTTTTATTAAAAAAAACTACAAATTTATAATATGGGGCCGAACCCGTCACACTATTTTTGCACAACTTTTTGACATACATTTATATAGGATTCACTTCGTAATGTACTTCAACGATTCGAACCATTTATCATTTAGATCTTCCCTCAAAGATCATGTCTATAAAAAATCACTCATTTCTAAAACCACATGACCGTTGGGTTAAGGGTTTGGAGTTTCTTTATAGAATCGTATTCGTCTATTTTCTTCACTACAAATGAATGTCTTAAGAGTTTTGAATTTGTCTAATTTTTTATAAGAATGATCAATAAATAATGTTTTAAAAGATAGACTGCTTAGATCATTAAAATACATTACAAAATAAACCTTATGTAAACGTGGGTTAAAAATGCATAAAAAAAAATAGTGTCATAAATCCGCTAATTTATAAAAATTAGGAAACTTTAACGAAAAGCTCCCGGTACTATTCACTTTAACGAAAAATCATATTTTTACACTAAAAAGTCAATCTTGGTACTATTCACTTTACCCTTTATTTTGTCCTTAATCCTTATCGTTAAAATTCAAAGTTTTCAAGTCTATTTCATTAGTTTTGTTTAAAAATTATCTATCGGAAATTACTTTTTTTTTTTTTTCCGGAAACTTCTATATGAAAGTACTTTGTTGAGTTTTGGAGTCACCCTTTCGTATATTGTTGACTCATCTTGTGTACGGCGTTCCTGGATTCAACATCAACTAGTCAAACTTGGGAATTTATGATTCAATATAAATAATATCTATATATAATTATATATTACCTTTCCATAATGTATGTTAATCATAAATTACAAATTTCTAATGTCTTTTTTGATTGCTGATAAAAGTATAAAACAGAAAAGTCGTCCATAGGGCATTACGTAGTTTAAAAAAAGAAGATCAAAATATAGAATATATGCAGTAATTTGAACTCAAACCTCTCTGGTCATAAATTAAAAAACTAAATACGAAAAATGGTGTGTGACTTGGCTCCGGATTCTTTTTCGGGGATTGTAAGGATTCTGCAATCGTGACCGTTTATCATAAATCGTACAGTCAGTTTTCGTTAAATACTATTTATATTTAATTTTAAAATTTGAAATGATTTCTAATTGTACGATATACGATGAACGATTACGATTATAATATTCTTATGATTCCCTGAAAAAAGATCCTCGTAGGATCATTTTCCGTAATCAAGTATTCTTTTCCGTACGAAAGCTGCATAGTGCATTGTTATTTTTTTATTTGAAAATATGAAAGCTGCATGACACTAGCTGTATAAATTATAATGTATGGACGATCTCTTGCCAACCACTGTCGGCAAATACTACATATTATATATGTGTATGTATTTGCTGGAATAATATGTCTGCTCAGTCTTTGGATGCCCTTAATAATACCTAAAATTAATTAAAATAATTATAGGAGACAGATAAGCCTATAAGTAGAGATCCATTCCAGAACTCAGTATACGGAATCCAACTATCTTCATTAGTTCGTTCTGCTTGTCCACCTCACACTAATCAAAAGAGGGTTTTGATTTCACACAAGTCAATAATCCATAATTCTTGGTCCTTAAGCTTCAGACATTAAGGTCCGAGGAGAATTCAAATTCGTTTTATCTCATTTTCCATGCATGCATGGCTTTACTTGTGATTTGATCTTACCTCTTGGGAACCTAACTAAGAGACAACATTAACCTAAAAATGCTTAAATAAAGAAGCACTGAAATATGTAGACGTGAACGAACGAAAAACAAAGTTTCTGCATGCAATGGTAGACACCCAGTACGTGGTTGTACAAAGAGATTGTAGCCTCACTCCTTAGCTAAACCACGTGGCCAATCTTTTCCCTGGTTGAAAATGTTGCCTCTTTAGGAACACACGATGACATGATTGTAACGTGCACAAATCTTAAATGAAAGTATTATGTCGGTTATAGAGTATGTATCAATATTGCTCAAGCGATGTGTTGGGTCAGTCGGTCAAGCACGAGCGTGAGAGTCTTCCGTTATTGATGTGAGTCGGTCGTGCCAAACCATGTTTGATCATTGTGTTTTGTTCATGAATAGATGTAGCGATAACAAAACACAGATAGCTAGTCACTTCCATGTCCTCTATTATTTTCTAACAGAGAGACATACATAGACCCTAATGGTTTAATTAATTTATAACTTCAAAACAAATATTCATGATCTTTGATTTTTACATGATGCATTATTTATCGAACTTGAGTTGGATTCTCTTTCCTTCCTTTTCTCCTTCCCTCTTTTCTTAGTTTTCTCTTCTTCTTTCTCTCTTTCCAGAGAAAGTAAAACAGGATAAAAATGTGGCTTAATCTTGAGCATTAAAATAAGAGGGGAGAGAGGAGAGGGGAAATGGGTGGGGAGAGAATATAAATCTGATTTCTGGATCATTTTGTTCAAATTTCCTTCAAATTAAGAATTTAATAAACAATATTTACATTACTCAAGTGATTTCCTTAAGCATGTTTTTTTTTCCCTATACAATAATATTTTGCATCGAAATAGTGAAAAATTTGAGTTAAAATACACAATGAACTAACATAATAAATTAATATTGTACTCGTCATTTACGCAAATCGAACTTAAACTCTAAACCCAAATAATGTAAATGATTGAAGTATCTTTTGAAGTTAAAATCATTTCAATGCAGTTGAGTAGCCTGCTGGTAGTTAATTATTCTTTTTTTTTTCTTTTTTTCTTCTTTTCATTCTCATTAATAATTCTTTTTAATTTTAATTAATCTAATATATATATATATCCTCCAAGTCTCAAGGAAGCAAGCCAACCATGTGGTCAATAGCCAAAAAAATAAAACAAGTGGCACTTTGAAAAGGATATCACAACACAATAGCATATGCGTTGTAACTGTTTACGTCTGACAAAGTCACATGAAAATATATGCGAGTCCAAAACCCTAGCCATGCACACTGTCTTTTCTTAATTATCATTTTGTTTTTCTGCAAATTTACCAGATTCGCGATTTCTCTTGTGTATATACTACGTATTTTGTAAAGTGCAAAATAATATTTATGGTAAACGTAATGTTAGAGAGATCATCTATTTAAATTATATTTTGTAAACTATATGACGTGATTGTTGATGAGAAATTATTATTTAAGTGTTGATTTACGTATTTATTTCTTATTGGTGACACATCACATGATTTGCATATGTGTTTAAATAGATGATCTTTCTAGTATTATCCGGTGAGCGGATAAAGGTCGGAGTGATAATAGATTGGAGATTATGAGATATAAAAGTCCATTAATAACATTGATTATCTTATTAAATAAAGAATTGAAAAAAAATCTACTCAATTAACAGATGAAGAAACTTTGATGTCTATCCGGCATCTACAAATCTTGACAAATGCTTCCTAACTCAAGAGATGGATTCTTCTACCATATTATTTATGGTCTGAAAAATGCACTAACAAAATTATGAGATGTTGACATAAAAATAAGAGAGTTTTAACGAAACATTTCCGATATTGTTTACTTTTAACGAAAAACCACATTTTTACCTTTCCTAGTACTGTTCACTTACACCTTTATTGATCGTTTTTCATTAAAACTATTTTTTTTTTTTAACTTTTCGTTAGTTTTCCTTAAAAATAACTATTATGAATTCAACTACAGTAAAATAACAACTCCTCAAGAAGAAATTTCGTCAACCCTCATCCTCACGTGACGCTCGTGTGATATACCAAACTCGAAACACACGATGTGCGTAATTTTTTTTGCTCTGAAATCAATTAGTAATGTTTTCTTCAAAATATATTCATAATCACTTATCTTTTGTTATGGTAAAAGAAAGATTTCTAATCATTTCAATTTCGTTCAACAAACATGTGTGTTGAGTGTTCGAATTTTTTTATATTTACCCTTGTACTAGGTCTCTAGCTACTCACACAAATTCAAAATTAAACAAAATGAAAATTTATTCAGAAATATAGGATAACGTGGACAGAAAAATAGTATGAATGACTATAAGCATGGTTCAAGTTTCAAGTGGACACTTTGTTTGCAACCAGTTGCTTTTAGCCACACAGGTCTACATGTTTACCATATGATTTACAATAAGATAATTATTGAAACGATATTACATTGTCATGTAAAGAAAAGTTTACATATGTCAATACATTATTAATCAAAACGACATGTGACGTTGAACTCATGTCATATCAATATTATTGACTTGACTCAGGCAAATTATAGGTATATTTGTTAATCATGTGGATGTGGAGCTACACACATAAAAATAGGACTCCATGTATTGTCTTTCTTTTTGTCTCTAGATGTAATCCTACGTGATTCTTTCTACATATAATCCTACATATATTGTCCGTTCATTAACTAAAGTAACTCTCACACTGAGTGATGCCACACCATGTTTGGTCAAAGCAAAACACAGGAAATTTTATGTCCTAATTTTATAGGAGGCCCCCTACATACATGCAAAATCTTGCAACCATTTCAATATCTTCCTCCCTTCAACCCTACATACATGCAAAATCTTGTAACCGGTTCAATATTTTCCTCCTTTTATCTCTCCCGTCAAGTGGGAGACACCACATAATTTTTTTTTTTTTTTCAGCAAAATAATCTCTGGCACACCAAATCTCTTCTAATATACAGTCTAGGCTTTTTATACTTTTGACATGAATAAATCAAAAAAGAATTAAAAGATGGAGAATAACATGGTAGCGCAGAAAGAGAAATTTGAAGGCAAAAATCTTCTACCTTTATCCTATTTTACTGAAGAAAAAAAAATAGAGAGACTGGCGGTTTGTCACATACCGTCGTGGGGCTGGGTCGTTTGATCTGTCTGTATATCCAAATATATAAATAAAGAATGATTGCTGGGAGAAAATAAGAACGATACATTTTTTCCTTTGATCTTTTAATGTCCATACTCTCTCCCCCCTGAAACGTTAGAAACCAGTTTTTTATATAAATCCTCTCCATTTTCTCTCTCTCCTCTCTCTCTGTGTTTGTGTCAGAATATACAAAGAAATAGCCGACGGGGAAGAAGCAGCAGCTAACCAGAAGAAGGAAGGCCAAAAAGTGAGGATTGGTTTCACAGAAATGAATGGTCTCTCACATCTTGAACCAGATTTCTCTGAGTTTGTGGAAGTTGATCCAACTGGGAGATATGGCAGAGTAATTACCTCTCTCTCTCTCTCTCTCTCTCCTCTCATTTTCTTCTGTGTATTCTGCTTGAAGAATGAACCTTTTATTTTTGGTTGCAGTACAATGAAATCCTTGGCAAAGGAGCTTCTAAGACAGTGTAAGACTTGAAGCTCTTAACTTTCTTCAAAAATCATCAGAACCCAGTTCAGATTTCCCAAAATTTTGAATTTTTCTGGATATTTGGCAGGCTTTTTGAGTGATTTTTTCTGGGTTTATTTTATTATTTTTTAATTTGTATTTTTGTTGCAGTTACAGAGCATTTGATGAGTATGAAGGGATAGAAGTTGCTTGGAACCAGGTCAAGCTCTATGATTTCCTGCAGAGCCCTGAAGATCTTGAGAGGCTCTACTGTGAAATCCACCTTCTCAAGACATTGAAGCACAGAAACATCATGAAGTTCTACACTTCCTGGGTTGATACTACCAACAGAAACATCAATTTTGTCACTGAAATGTTCACCTCTGGGACTCTGAAGCAGTATGTATTTTGTGAGTTTTTAATACAAAATATGATTTTTTGTTAATTTTTCTAAATCCAATTTTGTTAATTTTTTGTTGGTTAAAAAAAAAAAAAAAAAATTACTGATAGGTATAGGTTAAAGCACAAGAGAGTAAACATTAGAGCAGTGAAGCATTGGTGTAGGCAGATCTTGAGAGGGCTTCTGTATCTCCATAGCCATGACCCTCCTGTGATCCATAGAGATCTCAAGTGTGACAATATCTTCATCAATGGAAACCAAGGGGAAGTGAAGATTGGTGACCTTGGTTTAGCTGCAGTCTTAAGGAAATCGCACGCCGCGCACTGTGTTGGTAAGTTGGAATGATCCATCCTATAAGAAGTGCTTCATAAATTGTCAAATTTTGAGTCAAATATGAATGCCCCTATGCAAATTTTGTTTGTTTCATAATTTGTGATGTTGATTGGAACAAGGGAAAGTTATTTACCTAGAAGATTAATGTGTTTAGACTTCTTTCGATTTTATTGAAGTAGGGACACCAGAGTTCATGGCTCCTGAAGTGTATGAAGAGGCTTATAATGAGCTAGTTGACATTTATTCATTTGGGATGTGCATTTTGGAAATGGTCACTTTCGAATATCCGTATAGCGAATGCTCTCATCCTGTACAGATCTACAAGAAAGTTGTTTCTGTAAGAGGATTCTCTTTCCCTTTCTCTCTAGTGGAATGCTTTACTTTCTTTAGGAAAAATGTGACATCTAAGATTCCTTCTGCATTCTGAATTTAATAGGGTAAAAAACCAGATGCTTTGTACAAAGTTAAAGATCCAGAAGTACGACAATTCGTTGAGAAATGCTTGGCAACTGCATCGTTGAGGCCCTCTGCAAGGGAGCTTTTAAACGACCGTTTTCTCCAAATTGATGAATGTGAATATGATTTGAGATCACTAGATTATGTTAGGCAGCTAGATGACGTGGGTCCTCTTGTACGGCATCCTCTATTAGAGCTTCATCGGAGCAACAGTTCCTTTTGTAATGGGTACTCGAATGGTTACAGTTTCGATGCCCCAAATGAGTGGGGGTATCAGCCTGTCGATGTCGAATCAGCTGGAATCAAACTGTTTGAGCACCATGAGGGTGATCATTCTGAAGATGTCGGCATAAGTATTAGGGGGAAGAGAATAGAAGACGGTGGTATCTTTTTTAGACTTAGAATTACAGATAAACAAGGTTGGCATTGTCCTTACTTTCTTTCCAAAGTTTATTTATGGATTGCCTATGTGTGGAAACTAAATGTAGCACTTTAAATCCTATATTGCAGGTCGTGTACGCAACATTCATTTCCCATTTGACACTGAGAATGATACAGCATTGAGTGTGTCAACTGAAATGGTTGCAGAGTTGGATATCACCGATCAAGATGTAACTAGAATAGCAGATATGATTGATGGGGAAATTTCCTTGTTGGTACCCGATTGGCAGTCAGGACCAGGACTAGTGGAAACACCCCTGTGTGCTAGTCAAAGCTTTTGTCACAATTGTGTTTCTAATCACACCTCTAGTGGTTCCATGATGGAGTATCTGTCGAACCACCCTAGCGCCAAGGACTTGCAAGCTATTCAATGTTGTAAACATGGTTGTCCTTCAATGCACGGTCGTTTTGAGGAGATTACATACCAAGTTGATGAGTCTGAGCATCATGTGAAAGGGGGTGCACCAAATGAATCAAGCCAATCAGACTGCCTTCAATACCAAGAAATTTGGGGACAACAACCACAAGAAAGTCGAGAACTTAGTTCAGTAGGCTCAGGACAGAGCCCATCTGACGAAGAATATGAGAAAATGGATCACTTAGTCACAGTTGAAGATGGGCAAGATCCTCAATCGGAAAACACTACAGCATCCGGCGCAAGAAATTCCATCAGAAACTTATCCGGTTTACATTCTATTTCCATCCTCTCAAAATCTTCGCTGAATGCAAGTAAAGTACACAAAATAGACAACGGGTTCTTATATTCTGTGGTTTCAAACACATTACAAGGAATCAACAACATAGTTCTTTCGAAATCTTGCGCTTATGATCACCGACACTTAACTCTGGATTTCCTTGCAAATCTTGAAAAGCGCTGTCCCAATTCGGAACCTCAAAGGGCCCGAAATTGCGAGGCGATGGAGTCTCCCAATTCTGAGAATGTGATCACTGCCAATAGTTTATGCACAGGCTCACTGCTTCCTCACTCTCTTCGCAGGGCAGTTTCTCTCCCGGTTGATGCTGTTGATTTATAAACTTGCAGAGGCACAAAACATGTATTCTTTTCACAGGTTCCATACACTTACATCATGTATGGTTACCAAGGCCACTCCTTTTTTTACCAAGGGATGTGGCTTTCCAGGATGCTTTGTATTTAAAATTATGGTTTATCTACGAGGAAAAAGGCAAGTTTTGAGGCCTACATAGATTGTGTTCAACTCCATCTCCTTATTACAAGAGACCTATTGGTTGTATGGGAGCAAGAATAATTTAAGAGATTCTTGAGGTGTTACTGAATGTATACAATTAGAATGAGGCAGACATGTAATTGTATACGATCGGTGATGGAATTAAATTCTCCAATTTTCTCAAGACTCAAGACACTAAAAAGAAATATAGCACCTAAAGCTATTTGATTTAGAATTCGGATACCAAAAGCAGACGTGGCTAATTGACCTCACACGCATATGTTCGGTCTAATATTCAGAAATATTGAAAATCGAAAAGTGCTGATGGATTGAATTATTGGCATGTCAGTGCTGAGTTGGCCAATGAAGGGTTTATGATTTATCAGGATCTTTTGCCATGCTTCTTGTAGGACATACCTGGCCCCTTCAATATGTGTCAATTATGGAGTGGGTTTTTTTTTCTTTCAATTGTTTGGCCCCCACAAGAACAAATAAATCATCTTTCATGTTCCATGCTCGGGTACCTGATTTTCTTCATATCCAAATGAATTAAGCTCAACGATCAAATGGTTCAGACCATTGAAATTTGATCTAACAGCTATAATTATTATAACTTTTAAAGGGTCCACTATTTGCAGCCGTTAAATCAAATTTCAATAACCTAGATCATTTGATGAGTGGGCTCAATTCTTTTAGATCTGGAGGGGATTCGGTTCCCCATGTTCCATTCCATGCATGCTCATCTACTTAGCTTAGGAATTGAGATTCTTTTCTTATAGTCTAGACTCAATGGATGTAGTATTTCATATCATTTATTTTAAATTTTACAATCATCGTTAGCTCATCTCATTAATCAACTTTATAAAAATTAAGAGTTTAGATCGCTCTCTTCCTATCTTGAACGATTCAACTTAAACCGGTTCATCGACTTTAGATTGAAATTCGAAGACGATTTGAACTCTTAACCTACAACCCGGTTGCCCATATTTATCACCCAAAAAATATTGGCTGCTTTAATATGGGATGGTCCACATACTAACTTCCCTTAGGGTGAGTCTTACCTTGAAAAAGAAAACTAAGCTAATCTAAATTACATATCAAACCACCAAACCATATCTTGTTCCAAAAGTTGTACCCAAGTTGTACTCACTTTTATGTTAAAGTTCTTTAATTTAACTCAAAAAATCTCCTTTAGTATTATTGGTATACTCTCAGCTTACGACTCTTATAGATAACGAATTGAATTTTGTGATTTAACCCAAATTATAAATTTTTTATTGTAACATATCATTTTTGTATTAATAAAAACTCAAATCTGTTTTTTATGTGTAACCATCCCAAACGAGATGGCTTAATGAATACAAATTCAGGTATTTGAGGAATCTAAAAAAGTTTAGGTATATGATTTTATTTTAATTTCAAATATAGATAATCAAAAATCAAATCATAGAACACATCATTTGACTAGCCCCATTCCGTACTAAGCTGTTGTTTCTTATTTTCGTACATTACAAGTTGACGCATTTATTAAAAAAAAAAAAAAAAGATTTTCCACGCGTTTAGAATTGTAATTGATAAATAAGTAGGAATAATGATACCTTTCATTCTTTTTGGGTTTGGTAAAAGTGGGCAACAAAGTGGAGGCCAACCAGTCTTTTCGTTTATTTTTATATTGCATAATTTGCATTGGTGGCTTGGTTGGGTGTTAAATTGAGACCAACTCAAAAGGTTTTAGATTCCATAACATTATGGGAAAATCCAAATGGGATTGTATGTAGGGGAAATGGATCATCTTCGGATACATTTCTCCTAATTCATAAATTCGGGGATTCTGGTTATTGAAATTTGATTAAACAGTTACAAATAGATGTTTACTTTAAAAGTTATAATAATTGTAACCGTTGGATCAAATTTCAACGATCTGAATTTCCGAACTTACTAGAATAGGTTGATCAGACGGTTCAGATTGTGCAAATCTGAATCACAACTTTTTAAGCTTTAAAAAATAGATATTGATGACAACAAATCTGACCAACTTTTTGGTAATTTGACTCCAAATAAAGGGGTACTTTTAGAATAGAGATTGCCTCCGAATTTCTGTGTCTGAAGCTTAAGAATTAGGAGATTCGAGTCGTTGAAGAGAAAGATCCGAATCTTTGATATGAACTAACAAGGATCGTAAGATTAAAAATCAGTGATTCAAATTTCTTGATTCTTGAATTCCGAATACAAAAATTTGAAAAGAATCTCAATACGGTACTCTAGACAGGATATCCACATGCACACGACCCTTCCCTAACAATCAATCAATGGGGTTTTCAAATTTTTTATTTATTTATAATTGAGTCATTTAAGAAGAGAACTAGTTCAAACATTATACCTAATTCGAGTACCAGACACAAGAATCTCTTCCACCCTGTCCAAAGTTTCCTCCTCTTTTAAACGATTGAAAGGGTTGCATGCTTTGCCACTTTTAGACGAGTGAGAGAGACACAAGAATCTCTCTCACTTAAATAATACGATGGTGATGTAAAGTTTGCTCAAGTGGGATTCAAGTCATGTGTTTTTACTTATTTTGAGATGGATTGCAGACCCACAAAAATCAATTTGGACCTTTTTGGGATAACTCAAACTTGGAGGGAGAGTAATGAAATTGGAATATATTCCTAGCTCCAACATAGAATATTTAAAATGTGATTTCAATAATAAGTTACTTTTGCCATTTAGTATTGCGGTTTAGTGGTATAGTGAGAGGTTTTAGATTCGGTTCTAGTCAAAGGCGAATTTGAACTACATTATTGCTAGTCCATTATAGGTTAAGCCCACCGCCCATTGTGGGTTAAGCCCACCTCTCCCTCTTAACTTAGATAATATTGTTTGTTCAAAAAATAATAAGTTACTTTTTTAGAAAAGATGTGTACGGAAATTAGTTCCCTTTTTACAACTTTTTTTTATTTAGAAAGAAGAAATAATAAGTTACTTTTTTAGAAAAAATGCGTGCAAAAATTAGTTCCCTTTTTACAACTTTTTAATTCAGAAAGAAGGGTTCTGATAGATTCTTTGGATCTCTAGCTTACTCCTAACCATCACCCACCCTCACAACTGGGAGTTCATTTATTTATTATTATTATTTTTAATATAGATCAGTAAACGTGGTTTACGAGATTTGAATTTAGGATCTTCTTCATCAAAATATAGCGTTTGAGTGTCATTAGAAATTGAAACTTGAAAGTGCTAACTAAAAACACAACCTTTCTTGTGGTTGATTCGGAAAATGACCTCCACTTCATGGGTTGGCACAAGACACCATCATGAATACATGATTCGTGAAGAGAATTATTGGAGTTGGACCACTTGGGTTCAACCGAAGTGGTAGTTTGCTCAACTTGGCTAGACCCAAGTTCAATGTCTAAGGTCAGTTCATTCCACCACCTCAGCTCATTGAACCTTAAACTTTGCTGAAATGTCAAAATCTCGTTTAAAAGTGTTTTTAAAATGACTGCAAATGTTTTTTGCGAAATATTTTTGAAGTCGAAAAGAACTTAAAAAGTGTTTCTTGCAAGAAAGCACCACCCAAAAACTCCCCTACCACTACTTCAACAGCCTATCTCCATCCAAGTTCCAACCCTACAGGCTACCGCCGAAAGAGGTAAAAAAGAAGCCTATAAAAAGTGCCATTGTGATGCAGTTCCCACGTCCGAAAATGGTAGGAATGTTAGGCAAACTCCACAACACATGATGGAAGAAACTAGTTCTAAAGCCTAGTCCTAGTCCAACCCTTGACTTGTCCTTTTCATACTCTTAACCGAGAGAAACTTACCTATGTCTGTGATGCCGCTGTGATAGTATCTCAAATTAATCAACGTGCACTGCTACACATTTTAACTGCCTCACATTGGCAGTATGTGATTGACTTGAAACACCACATAAATGACCCCATGTGCTTGAAAGTTCTACTCCTGGATGGCAGAGAAACTTACCTACGCCACGGATGCCATTGTGGAGGTATCCCAAGTGATTCACATATTGCCAATGCAGGAAAGTCACCTATATCCAGGATGCCATTGTGGAGCTATCCCAAGCGAATCAATACTATAATGTATTTTAATTTTCCTACATCGGCAGCGTGTGATTCACTTGGGATAGGATACTGCCACAATAATTGCATCCCAGGTGTAGAAGTTCTAATAACTAACCAGATGTAACCACTTATTGAACCAAACCATTAGAAACCTTTGCAAAACCACTCTACAAGCTCATACTGAGTGGGACTTGTAGCTTTTGTTGCATTAAATTTGCAAAGTACACCTCTATTACATGCAAATGATTGTAGTTAACACGGCCAAACTCCACACTAATTGTAGAAGCCTCTGTATAGAGTATAATTCGAAAAGACACTGATTCTTATACATGTATAATTTCTGTACATCGCGGATATATACCTTAACGAAATGGCCTTTCATCAATGATTCAGTACAACCCCGTTGAAGGATAGTTCAGTTGTGCCTCTTGCAGGACTGTGCCTGGTCACCTGAGTGTTCTCTCATAAAGGCCTCAAAAGTGGGTAGTCTTCAAGTAGTTCCCGCTCCGACAGAGTGTCAGTTTCATTCTGAGGAGTCCACAAGACCTCTACTGCCTGCAGGAAAAAGAACAACACGTATAGGTATCAAGCACAGATCTAAAAGATAAATTTACAAGTTCCATGCAGTATAATGTTTTTGTTACCATTATTTTGTTCGACGGAATGGATGCAAGCTTTTGCAACGCTTCCTTTAAGTCACCACTGCCATTGATGGCAGGCAACTTATGCACCCCTTCAGCAGCCACCAATATTGTTATCTGAATTAAGTTCAGTCAGAAATGAGGTCAAATATTAACATTTCTATTCCCAAACGTTCATATTCACCAATACTTCCATGATAGGCCAGCGGGGCCTTGGTAACAATGCTGAGATGGAAACACTGATTTTAATAGAATTTTCAGAGCTTAACATGTGAACAAGCAACACGGGTTTGTCCTTTGGTATACTATGAATAACTGACACTGAAAACTGGAAATGTGGTTTAACACAGGCTATCCCAACTTGATCTTACCACTATATATTCGTTGCGGAATCCATTAGCACTCCGGCTTGTAGAGCTTTGCTTTCTTATGTTATTCACATTGACAAGTGTCTCTTCATCAAATTTGCCCCTTTCTTCGATAGAAAGCTGATTAAAGCGTTTCTCTGCATCCTCTATGCCTCGTTTTAGAGCAACCTAGAAGCATGACAAAAGTTATAATCCATGTCCTTCACAATCCTCATACTTTTATTAAGTTATACTTTATGTTTTACTCCATACATGATACATCCATAAGCAATTACAAGAAATACTCCAATCCTGGTCGTACTTCAGACATTATTCCACCAGACCAACGCTGGTTTGCAATTAGTTTATTGAGTATCAGAGTTCCCTTGAATTATTATAATCCTTTTAAAGAATACCACCGGCCCTCTAGAATGGTAAACAATAGTAACGGTTTCACCATCATAGATCAAGCAGCCTCCCACAATTTGTCTAAAGAGAGGCAGAACCATTAGGTATTGTATGAAAGCTTTACATATGTGCACGAGACATCAAAATTCAAAAGTTTCAATCCTTAAAAGATTAGCCTAATCTGTTTAAGTTATCTGATGAGTAGCTGCCACTGCCATATACTATCTTATACTTTATAGTGCCAAATGTCTTAAGAGAGATATGAATTCCTTTGATTTATCATCATCTCTTCCTAGGGGTTTCCACCTTCTCTAACAATGGTGGGCAACCACAACAATACACCAGAAAGAAACCAAGTACTCTAACAGATGTTATGAACTTACAGATGAATAGCCGGAGATGCAATAATCAGGATGCCGTAGCAAAGCTAGTGTTGTCTCTACAATTTGAGTAAAATTTGCATCAGAATAACAAAAGTAATAAAAAATTAAGATAATACTAATGAAGGGCTTTGAACCCGCCCTTCCCCTGCCTCTGCAGAACCTATAGGGAAGTCCAGAACAAGCTATCCAATAATCAATCCTTTGAGAGATGATTGATCTTTAAAGTAATAAATAAGAATAGAAAGAATCGTAGCCAGAAGAACGTAGGAGCTGTACATTCAGTGTAATAAAAGATCGTAACTTGACATTATGGGTATGGCAATAAATCTAAATATTGGTATAATAAAAAAACCAATTCTAAGAGCTCAGTTATATGATGTGAGTGTGCATGAATAATAATATATATAGGTTCACCTGTCAAAACATAGGCCAAACCATCAGTGGTAGAAGTATCTGCAGTTTCAGCAATCCGATTAAGATCCCTTTGGAGTGTTCGTCCCATGCCCAACAAACCAACCTTAAAGAAGTAAAGGTGAAACAATAGAGGATACATTGTTCATTGCAATCCAACAGAAGAGTCTATAAAGTGCACATCACATTTCCAAAATTTAGTCAACACAGTGAGATTACAGCACTAAATATCAAAAAATTTCCAAATTGTATGTATGATCCCCTACACTTATCCCCATTTCGAGGTTAAAGCCAGTCGATGGTGATATGTTTTACAAATACTGCCGTATTTTTCAAGTGGCACTTTTCTCCAATCCCCAAATGCTCATTCATCTATAAACATCCATCCTAGAATGTGCTTACTTACAACCATATCATTTCTTAATCCCCAAATTTTTCTATTTGTAGCAAAATCATCCCTTCCTTTAACATGTACCGACCAAAAAAGGCAAAAACTCCCACAATTTGCCACTTCAACATAAACTTCCTAATTGAATGCAATCAAGGGAAAACGAGTCAATTAAACTTCAATAAACGAACAAATTTCCAACCTAACAAGTCATGGGTCGTATGTAAAAGGAGCTCTAATTTTACAGAGGATTTCAAATTGCATATACATATACATACACATACATACATACATATATATACACACACACATACATACAAACAAAATATTCTGAAATATCCACTGCCTTGCGAAAATTACAAGCATTCAATCATACCTGAAGCTTGATAACGCTTGTTTTCTCTGTAGCAGTAAGCACACTGCCCTCAGACCGATCCGAAAGGAACCCGGAAACCAAAACAAACGCCGCGAAGCCCGTCAATATCAGGAAGAAGCTCGACCCGGCTCCGACTCCGACCCCAACTGCCGGCCCCACGTAAAACCCACCTCCCCCGCCACCGAAACCGAACGGGGAAGGCGCGTAGTACGGCGCGGAGTACGAAAAATCGGGCCTTGAACTCGAAGTCCTCGGCACCGAATAACTCCTCGACGACGACGAGGAAGACGAGAACGAGCGTCCCCCGACCCGGCCGCCCGATGCAGCCAATGCCAAATTCGGGTTGGACATCAGCAGCAGACCAAACAACACGGCGGCCATTGCCGGCTTTCTCAACGCCTTCAGAGCATTCAGCAGCTTTCCGGTGATAATCCCAATTGGGTTTGGTGGGTTTGTTGCTGGGTGTGCTGGGTTTTCCAGGGACCGAGATTTTGATTCGGGTAGCTGCTTAAAGCATTGAACTTTGAATTTGCAGGGGAGTTTTTGGATTTGGAAATTGAAGTTTTTGAATTTGATTGGGTTTGTGGGGAGGGGACGGAGAGGGGGGAGGATATTGCGCTTGTTCCATCTCAGTGGGTTGGGTTGGATCAATGAAGCTGTTGCCGCCATTCGAGTCGAGCGTTTTTGGAATTCAGAAATCAAAAGCGTGGACGGGTTTTTGTTTTGAGAATTGGATTTTATGGGGAGGAGATAGCAGCTGCTGTCGCGGCTTTGGCGTCTGGTTCGTTCAATCTCCGCCTCAAACTTCTTCCTCCGTGTCTTTGTCTTTTCATGGATGAACTCATGAAGATAGATTGTGCTTTGCACGTGACTTTTATTTTATATTTTGTTGGATAGAGGGGTGCAATTTGGGTCGGATCAAGATTCAACGGTTGAAGACTCATCGGATAGACCTAGGAGGAGGACTAATCTGACATGACACACTTCTATAGTGGCATTTAGTGTCAATGAAATAAAAACACGTGTAAGTTTTTAATTCGTGTAAACGTTACGTAACAAATGTACTCGTATTATATAAGTTGCTCTTGTCTAAAACGATTGCCTTATTTGAGAAGTTTTTGTGTTTCGGTCATGGAAATGAAGTGACACGGCTAGTTGTAGCCCATAATTTCCTTGAATTCAGGCCTTGCCTTACCAAGTTTAATGTCTAGTATGTATACAAATGTTCACTCATTTTGTACATATTGACGATACAAGAAATTGTGTACAATTTTTTAGGTGTTTGTGTTACTCGAGTTTGTTTTGGGTTTGATTGAGAGTTGGGATCATATTTTTGCTAGCTTGATAAAATTCGGTCTCGAAACAAAATTATAAGAATGGGTTATCATCAGTGGAATTTTAGTCCGTCCAATCCCTTCGAGTTGCACTCCTAATTGAATTCTAGACTGATTTCTTGTGCAACCCGAATCAGGGCTTGATGTCCAAGTCCGACCGGAGAATTGTTAGACCCTTTGGACCTGGCCTTAATTAAAAAAGAAAGTTAAATGTAGCTCGGCCCAGACCCATCGAATCTCTATCCTCCTAAAACCCTAATCCAATAAAATCAAAACTCTTCCTTCTCTCTCAAACTTTCTGTGCCTCCGCTGCCGCGACTACTGCATTTTCCGCCTCATTGCCCTCTGGGGTGTAATCAAAACCAACCATGGCGGACAAGGCCGTCACCATCCGAACCAGGAAGTTCATGACCAACCGCCTTCTCTCTCGCAAGCAATTCGTGAGTTCCTCCATAATTTCTTACTTTTTGCCTCTAGTATTTAACTGGGTTTTATATCTTTAACTTTTTAGTGTACTTGTTAGCGATGTTTACGCTGTTTTATTTCGTTAGTTTTGTGATTTTTCTCCCTAAAGTTGCATGCTTTGATCTGGATATGTGTTTTGTTTATGTAATTCGTATTCACCCAACTGGTTTTTTATTTATAATTTGGTTAGCATTATATATATATATATATATATATATATTTTTTTTTTTTTTGTGATTTTTCACCGTAAATATGGATGCTTTGATCCGATTATGTTTATTTTATTTTTTTACTTAATTCTGAGTCACCCAACTGGTTTTTGTTAATAATTTGGTTTGTATTATCTGTGGTCAGATCTTCTTTTTTTTTTTTTTAACTTGAATTTATGTTGGATTGAAGGGAGTTCAGTGAAAAATACGAGTTTGAAATGATTTGTTAGATTTTCGTGTTGTCAGCTTTCCGTGATAATCTTCTCTTACGGGGTTAATCGTAATTCAATTTTTGCTTTTGTTCCATGTAGGTCATTGATGTTCTTCATCCAGGCAGGCCAAATGTTTCCAAGGTATGGTTACAGAACTTTTTTGGCTATTTATTTATCTTAATTTGTCACAGTATGTTTTGTTCAATCAATGGTGTTATGTTTGACGAAGAACTAGAGCTTGTAAAATAACTGTTTTGAAATGACCTTTTTTCTTTCTTTCTCGTAATGGATACTTGGATAGCAATAATGTGAATTATGTGCTTGGTCACTAATTAAATGAATTGGTGTGTTGGTTTTGTGAAGGCTGAGCTGAAGGAGAAGCTGGCAAGACTCTATGAGGTCAAGGACCCGAATGCAATCTTTGTTTTCAAGTTCAGGACTCACTTTGGTGGTGGCAAATCTACTGGATTTGGATTGATTTATGACTCTGTTGAAAATGCAAAGAAGTATGAACCCAAGTACAGGTTGATCAGGGTAAGTCCAGATTTTACTGATAAGTTCATCTATTCAAATTTCATTTTTGCTACCTAAACCGTAGGACATTGCCAGCGCTAGAAATGTAGATAGCTTTGTTGAAGTGATTTGATGAACACACGGGTAAACCCTAGGACACATTGAGTTAATCTAAGTTAAGTCAGTAAGAATTGTAAAGCTGTTGATTGTTAATTGGTCGGATTTATCAATGTATCTTCCAAGTGGTATTTTGTTGGTAATGTGTCTCTTGGTATCTTTTCTTTTCTGGCGTTCACTAGTAGTTGAGCATGAGTACATATGTACGTCACTTGTAATGACAAACTAAACTAAGCGTGGGAGCACAAGTATGGTCATGTTACCCCCAAACCTTTTTATTTCCATCTCTTCATGGTTGGTTTCATACTGTGTTTTTTAGTATATAGTAATTTTTCTCATCGGTTCTGCTTCAAACCTCCATTAGTTCATACCACTAAAAACGTTTTTGATATTGCAGAACGGACTTGATACTAAAGTAGAGAAGTCAAGGAAGCAATTGAAGGAGAGAAAGAACAGAGCCAAGAAGATCCGAGGAGTAAAGAAGGTAGGAAAGTGACATATTATTTCCTTGTGTAATTCTTGTTTGATTTCATTACCTTGCTTCTTACAACGATTTTGTTCTTTTTTGTGCAGACCAAGGCTTCAGATGCTGCCAAGACAAAGAAGAAATGAGGGCTAGTGATTTCGGTTCTAGTTTTTGTTCATGTTTTGCCTTTAGGATGCGTTTAAAATGAAAGATTTTGCCTGTCATTGTGGATTTTAGAGAGCCATCTAATATTTAGTTTTTTTTTTTTTTTCTTCCTATTTTTTCCCGAATATCAGTATTATGATGAGGACAGATTTATCATATTAAGTAGCAACAGATTTCAGATTATTCATCGACCTTCGTTTATTCGTGATATCGAAGCGAAGATACTTCTTAATCTTCTAATGAACGACAATTTAGTCGTGGATATAAAACTCTTTGATGAAGTTTTCAGACTCATTGCACTGATTAACTAGTGATTGAACTTCAACACATGCTTTAGGATTTGGCATCTTGTTTTACAGAACCTCAAGAGCTGTGCCGTAGTACTTGTTGATGAATCGATATTTAGCTTTTGAAATGTCGGGAGTTTCCGGTGTTTGCACACGGTAGAACTTGTACATCGTCCTATTTCTGAAACCCTCTTCCCGGCTCAAGCGCTTTAGAGTGTTTGTCCCTTCGTCCGAGTGCTTGCATTTGCATCTCCCGTCCCTTAGTATCGCTCGGATGAATGAAAAAACACTACTGCTACTAACTTCGTTCTCTCCATGGTTTCTCTTTGCATCAAATAGCATGTCCTCCACATACTCCTTCAAGCCAGCTTTTACAACAGGAGACAATTCCTTGTCTCCTCCTATCGTCTCCTCTATGATGAACTTGGCAAATTCATCCTCCTCGCCTCCTACCCGACAGTCATCTTCTTCCTCCTCGTGATCATCTAAACACGGAAAGAAGTACTGACGTTTCACGAAACTTTCATCCTTCGTGCAGTTTGAAGCGTCACTTCTCCTTTCCGTGCAACCCAAGACAAATATTTGAGGATACTTCATCACTTGGGTGGCTGAATCTTTCTTGTACAGAGGAATGCATGGAATCCAATCCATCTTCAACGCTTTCGTTGGAACCCTAATATCTGCTCCATTCACCGGCTTAATCCCCATGTCATCTGATGGCGGGGAAGGCGATACAACAGGAACTACAACTTCATCCTTCCTCTGAAAATGACATTCGACTGTGCCGAACAGATAGACCTTGTCATTGTTACCAATAACCTCATGATTCAGCTTTCCCTTCTCTTCAAATGCGCGTTCGAGATTGAAGAAATCCCACTTGAACTCCTTGTGCACGGAGTCCATCCTGTCCCAGCCTTTTCCGACAGGAAACGCAGCCTTCCATATGTCTTTCAGTTTTCGGGGCTCCTCCACCAAGTGCTGGGGTTCCAGTTTGGGTTCGGAGGCTTTGACCCGCTTTTGCAATGGCCGAGTAGGTTTCCGGCTGGCCTTCCTCTTTGCTCCGTCTTTCTGCATTGTAACTCTGTTGGTAAGAGTCTAACGAGAAGAAAAATACTCAAAGACTTCAAGAGAAAGAGTAAAAACAAAACAAAGATTGAAGAAATCAATAGCTAGTTGTTCAAAGTAGTATATGATATATTTATAAGACCCGAAATATGAGACCACGTGACTTGTATTATCGGTACATATAAAAATTTTGGTGTGTGGATTTCCTAATCAAACTAGGATTATTTGTCAATCTTGGAGATCCCTTTTACCCAACTGGAAAAGGAAACCGGATTATTTACCCAACTAGGATCCTTCCTTTGTCAATTTTGGGAATTCGGTGATTAGAACAGCGTGTTTTTCTATGTACACTTAAGTTTGAATCTCTCTTTTCGTAGTTTAGGTCGAATTAATTAGAATATCACTTGCATAAAAAGAATAAACTAATAAAATAGATAATGAAACTTTTTTCGATACATGTCCATTGCTCCTAGTTTACCGCAAATTCTTAGATGTACCAATAGGATCCTCTTCAGATTCTATTGGTGAGGATTCTAAAGATCTGTAAATCGTGTTCGTTCATTGTATATCGTGCTTTAATTTTTATCAAGTACTGTTTGTGTTTAATTTTAAACAAAAATATTTAAAATGATTTCTGACCGCACGATGTACGATTAATGTACACGATTTACGGATATCCGGAATCCTCACAAAGAGGATTCGGCAAGGATCTGGATTCTTAGATGCAGTAGGGGTAAGAGTACTTAAAAAAGTAAATAAAAAACATAAAAGTTAAAACAAGCCACCTTTTACTAGGATTTCCTATTCCCAACAGGAAAAGGAAACCGCACTTGATCGTTGCCTATAAATTAAAGCGTATGAACGCAAGACTGCATACTATTTTTCAGACCTTCAATTACTCTTAATTGTGAGCATAGAGAGAGATGGATGTGGAAGCGAAGGCAGCAGCTCCTCCGTCTACGGTGGCTGATTTACTGCGCCGCAACGGCGGTAATGTTAGCGACATAGATTTCAGTGTTCTGGAGAAAATCCTACCACAATGTACGGTCGGGGAGTTGAGGCAAGTAGAGAAGAGTAGCGGAGGTAGAGATTTGAGTCCAGTTACCGAAGAGTTGTGGCGGAAATTCTACGAACAGAAGTTCGGGCGTTTAAGGACTGATGCGGCGAGCAAAAGGATGAAGAAGGAGAATGTGAGGTACAGATGGATGGAGCTGTACGATTCAAAGGAGAAGGAAGAACTCGACGAGGCCGAAAAGAAGGCTGCCGAGAGGTTGAAGAGGCGGTATAAAGAGGAAGCTTTGCGAAAACAAAGCCGGCGAGTTGTTATTTGCAAAGAGACAGAGGTTCCGTCATCGTCATGGAACAAAAGAAAAAGAAGCGAGGATGAGGTTCCGTCGTCATCAAGCAACAAAGGAAGTAACACCGGCAGCTCCTGCGGTGGCGACGACGGTCCCGTCCGAAAGCGAAAGGAAAGCTTGATCATGAAGAAAGCGAGAAAAGATTTTCTCAACTGTATTGAGGTGAAAAATATTACAGCAATGGGGATGGTTAAATTGCAGAAGGGCTACAGTTCCTAGAAGGATTTGACATTAAAACGATGCGCCGTGCTTGCTGAAGAGTATTAGGGTTCGAATTTCGACTACTACTTAGGGCAGCAGTAGAGCTTTCTTGATCTCCAAGTTTGATTATTTTTGTGTAATGGAAATTTTTTAGTTGCCTTAAAATGTGAAATGTTTGTTTTTTTTTGTTTTGTTTTGTTTTTTTGTCAAATGATATATTTGTTAGATTAGGTTGCAAACGGGATTCGAACGCATGTCGTGGTGCAACAAGAACGCTCTTTTTCACCATTGTGGTAGAGGGCCACTAACAATGTATGTATTATAATAAGGAGAATTCAGTTGTCATCCAATTATTGTTTTACGAACAAGAGAATAATTAATCATGACATCAACAAAAGGTTTGGAAAAATGATCTCAAGCATGAAATCTAAAAAATCATTTGGAGGTACATGTTAGTTGCCCTTATTTACGGCAAATCCTTAGATCCAAATTCTAATCAGGGTAGTTGACATGTCAAAACTGGTTGGTTGTATGTAAGAATATTTTTTATTTTTTTGAATAATTGATATTATCTACTCACAATGGACTAGCAATTATGTGATTCAAATTCGTCTTTGGCGAAAATTGAACTTAAGACCTCTCACTTACAAGTAGAGAGGAATATCATTAGACCGTAATACTAAGTGACTGTAAGAATCTCTCTTCGTTTACGACAAATTCAAGTGCAACTAGAAGAATCTCTTCATATTATTACAGTCACGTATTTTCAAATCAATCACTCATTGTGACGCGATAAAATAACAACACTTTAACACGTGGTAAACTCAAAATACCGCTACCGTGACGCAATCTAATGGCATGTAAATCTCTCCTCACAATCACAGCCCAACAGCCCGGCATGTCGTGTCTTTGTCGCTCTCACTCTTTTGCACTTCCATTCCATTGAGTCTCCTTCTCGCACTTTACCACCGACAACTACATATATATAATAATTCGTGGACTATCACAAATCACAGCTCTCTCATCTTCTCAATCTCTCCATCTCTCACTTCGCTTTCTTTCTCCTTTCCTTCCACGTTCCTCTGATCTTTCTTTCTTCCTCCACACAATCCCATTTCCCATCAATGGCGGAAGCTAACGGTACGTTTCTTTCTAACCCCATTTTTACTTTTACTGTTTTACTCATCGTTTTCTTTGTTGGGTAATTCTTCGATCATGCATGTCCGTCCAATCTATTGGGAACTGAGTGTATGTGATTGTTTCTTCTGGATTTTTACCGTTTTTTTTTTCCGGTAGAACTTGAAAGTTCTGAACTTTTACTTCAAACTGTGGTTTTGGGATCCTTTCTTGTTCTGATTTGCATATTTTCTTTTGGGTAAGTCTGGAATTGTGCGGATCACTTTGCCCAGAAAATCAGTGGATGTTTTGCATGTTGCAACTGCAAGTGCTTCCACTGCCTTTTAATCCAAGACTTGCCTTGGTTTTAGAACAGAGTAGAAAGTTTAAAATGTTAGTTCGACAGCAAAAGATTCAAAAGAGGGCAATGTTTTAATTTGTTTCTGTGATGATTGTATGATCGAAAGGATACAGATCAGAATGATTATACGAAACACCCTGCTTCGGTGGAGTTTAGGGTGAAGAAAGTTGGGTTCCACCGTAAAACCAATTGGCAATATAGAGAGTAGACTATAGACCAACCTCTTATAAGCCCATGCAAGGTCCCTCCTCCTATCAATGCGAGTTTAAAAGAATGGAATTTGGACCTTAACAGTAAGGTTATACGAGTTGGAATGATCCTATAATTTCTAGATACAATGTACTTGAAATGCTTTTGAAATAATCAAATGCAATTCCATGGTCGGAATTCGCAATGACTAGGTACAATGAATCGCTTGACGAAAGAACTAACGACCTAACGTGGATGTTGTGTCCGTCCTTGAGCATTTGTTCGGGGACTTCATTTTAATGTCGGTTTTATAGTGCCAAACGATAATTACTTTGATATATATTCCGAGTGCAGTTACTCCAAATTTTTTTGTTTTATGGAATTTTCTTCCGCATATTTCACTTGCATATTGTTCTTTTTTCTTTTCACCTAAATACTAGGAATACTATGTATATGTATGAAAGCTTAAAACTGGTCGGGCCCTCGATTGGGTACAACGTTGTTTCCCTTAAGATGTTATCAGAAGATAAGTCGTGGAACTTGTATATTAATTGTAAAGTTCTGAGGGTCGTAAGAAATGTTGGAAGTTTGCCATATGTAATTGGGAAATTTTGGGTGCTTAGGTTATTCATTGCTACTCTTCTTTTTGGCAGCGGTGGAAGCGCAAGACGGAACCCTTTCTGTGGCCTCTGCATTTGCAGCACATCAAGAAGCTAACACCAAACCCGTCTTATGTAAACAAAGGCGGTACTTTGCAACCAGATCTGGTCTTCGTATTTATCATGCTTTGCCTTTTGTTTTGATTGTTCAACCAGTTGAACAGGATAGAGATCACAAATTCTTAACAGAAGCAGTTGGAGAAGCTTATAAGGGAGTTGATTGTGGAGACGGCAGGCCATTTGGTGCAGTTATTGTTCGCGATGATGAAATAGTCGTAAGCTGTCACAACATGGTTCTAAAACATACTGATCCGACCGCCCACGCAGAGGTTACTGCCATAAGAGAGGTTAGACTAATATATAACTACATTGCATCATGCCCAAACTGTTGGATCCGTACTAGCATTCGGGCATTTATGCATACTCGTGCATATTGGTTGGTTTAGGGAAGACTTAAAGCCATGTCCAATTTGTTTAGTTTTTATAACCAAATGAGCTTGAAATATTTATACGATAAGGTTTGTATGATCGGCATTGTCATCGTAGAGTTGTAAGCATTATGAGTATGTATGTACGTAGATCTTAGCAAACATGTTTTGTTCGCTTGGTTCCGGTTTCTACAAGTTTTAGTTATGGTGTTCTTTATTTGATCTTGGGACGATTGTTTTGGACAGGCCTGTAAGAAGTTGAATCGAATAGAGCTCTCGGACTGTGAAATATATGCATCCTGTGAGCCATGCCCAATGTGCTTTGGTGCTATCCATCTTTCAAGACTTAAGGTCCAATTTTCAAACCCCTTAACTTCGTTGAAACAATAACTAGATCATACTGTTTTACGGTTTCCACAATCTGTCTTTGCTCTTTCGGAACAGAGGTTGGTTTACGGAGCTAAAGCCGAAGCTGCCATAGCAATTGGTTTCGATGCTTCCATTGCGGACGCGTTGAGGGGCACTGCATTTTACCAGAAGGCTCACATGGAGATCAAGAAAGCTGACGGGAACAGCGCGGTCATTGCCGAACAGGTATTTGAGAAAACAAAGTCGAAATTTCACATGCATTGATTTCACGATTGCTCCCTTCTTGGTGAAACATCCAAAACAATTGATTGAAGTCTTAATTCTCCTTGTCATTATTACACGACGTTTCACAAATTCACGACAAAATTCAATTGTTTCGTATCAGAAAGTGCAGCCGTTGCTGTGACTCCGACAAAATTCTCCGACTTCAACTTCCTCCGGCTCGAAAATCCTAATCTGGTTCTGGTAGACGTACTAATCTCCCAACAGAAACGACCAGATGACGGAAACAAAACCCTAGTTTCCTCATCACGGCCGCAAACTCGGGGTTGCAAAATACAAAGCCAACTTAGAGTAGAGTCTCTCGAAGGCGTTGACAGTGGTAAAACAACCAACAAAGAAATCCAAAGTACGCAGTATACAACATTGTTTCGATCACAAAATCGAAACCAAGATCGGCATAGATACACACGGCCAACTCCTTGCTACGAACCAAAATCGAAACCAGCACATGTCTACGAACAACTCCTTGCTTAACAAACACAAACACAAACACAAGTATATGTATACGACTCTGCATCTGCATAGTACTAATAGTCGAATACACCGATCTTGCAAATCATGAGCAAAGAGGTTCAGGTCATTGAAACATAAAGAGATTTCTAAAACATGAAACGCCGATCTTTCTCTACCGGTCATGGAAACTACGAGAGAGCTGCCCTCTCGCAAAATGACATCTTCAAATTTCGAACATGACCAGAGCGATACATAAAGATGCTAACTTGATCAATTTATGTTGACGAACATCTCATGTACAAGAACATATGGGAAGGAAAAGAACACTACCTCGTATACACATGTCTAAGGAGTATGAACAAAACTATCAAACAACTAGACAATGATCGGAAAATCATTATTCGAAAACTGTTCTACGAAACCAACAAAGACGGAAAAATTTGTAAAATGCGAACACCTGCTGCACCATTGATCAGAGAGACGGAGCAAATTTATATGAACAAAAAATTCAAGATTCGTGAAGAGTCCCCAAACTTACCATCAATGTCTTCCTTCAATCGACTGGTCACCCGCCATTGGACCGCAACTCGTCCAATGCCACTTTGATCTGATTCTGAACCAAGTCTAGCCGCTTCGAGTACACCTCCAGCTCCAAAATCTGCTGCTTCCTCCACTTGTCATCCGCCACTTCTCCGCCCCCGAAATTCAAGTTCATCGGTGGCCCACCGAAGCTCAAGGGAATCGGATTGAATGCCAAACCTCCGAAGCCTCTGGACGGCCCGCCGCCCATTGCATTACTGAGCAACTCCTTGAACAATGGAGACAAACAACTCTTCACCGTCTCCTCAATCAACCCTTGAACATTGCAATTGCTACAATTGTTACCACCACCATTGTTACTAATATTAGTGCTGTTGTTGTTATCTTTAATTACCGGCGACGGCTCAACGAAACCGCCACGAAGCGGCGGAGGCGGCCGTTTCTCGTCGGACCTTGGTTGTATTCGCGAGCGCTTGCGCGATCTCGGCGTGGACTTCTTATCGCCGGCGAAACCGGCAGCCTCCTCGGCCTTGATCTCATAACTGCCGAAGTTAGGATTGCTAGGGGGATCTTCGTCGTCGAGGGCGTTCTCGTCGGCGCCAATTCGGCCGATATTGCTCCAGATCTTGCGGGAGATCTCGAAAGTCGCCTGATCGTGAGGGCTCTTGAAGCTGATGTCTTTGCCGCTCGCGATTTTGCTGAGGACGTTCCGGTACTTCTTCTTCAGCCGCCGGAGCTTCTCGACGAGCTGGCTCTTGTTGAAGTCGAGCTGGAGCTTGGACTTGATCTGGTCGTAGAACAAAGCGGTGTCGTTTTGGCCATGCGAGCCTCTGCTGCCTCGCTGCGTCGTGTAGTCGAGGAAGCCCTGTAACAGCTCGATCTCGTCCTCGTCGGTCCACAGCCTCTGGAAGAGTCTCCGAGAATCGTCCAGCGCCGCCTGTTTTTTCTCCTCCGGCTGGGACGACAGCGCGGGGTGCCGTTTGGGATCGGATGACAAGACGGCGTCATTTGCGATTACGGTGGTTGGAGCAGACGTGAGGGTCAGAGGCACGGTGGGAGGGGCCCGAGCGGGAAGGGCGACAGTGACGGTAGGAGTGGCGGTGGCGATGGCGACGGGGATAGAATCCGTGGCGCCGGCGGATGACGTGGAAGGGGAGGCGGAGTTGATGACATCGTCGTTTAGAACATCGTCGTCGTCTTCGACGTCATCTTCTTCCTCGTCTTCGTCGACGACGTCGTCTTCTTCTTCATCGTCCTGGGAGGAGGAGGAGAGGTCGCCTTCGGGGAGAACGACGTCGTCCTGATCGGGGGCCATGTTAGACGTGGCGGTGGTGGTGGGGGGAGGGTGTTATGGGAATCTCGGGTAAAATTGGCGGGTGGTGGGGGATGAGGTTATAAATTTGCGTTTAAGAGAGAGAGAGAGAGAGAGAGAGAGAGAGAGAGAGAGGGGGGGGGGGGGGGGGTGGTTGGGGTTAGGGCGAGAGGGAAGGGGTCAAGTGGGTGGTTGGTTGGAACTTGGTTCACGACACATGGTTATAGACTTATAGTTTATGTGTTACGTGTTGGACTGTTGATCGATGGTGGACTAGTTTGGTGGTGGTGGTGACCTTGATCAAACTCGGTTGCTACATGTATGGCCCCACTTGCTAACCCCACTTTGAGTTAATTAATCAATGTAGATGTTTTGCAAATTCTTCATCGATCCAATTATTTATTTTTTTGGCAAGCTGCCGTTTACTATAGTGGTGAAAAGAATTGAGCTTTTGTATAACAGCGTAGTTTCAAATTTCATCCGTGATTAATATGACACCTAATTTAACAAAATTCATCATTTAATAAAAAATAAAAATAAAAAATCTATTTTTTTCAATATAACCCGATTTGATCTGACTTTTTTTTTTAGCGATCAGTAAAAACAAAAAAAAAGGCTAAGACCTGCTGTAAGTCGTCAACTTCCCTTTTCTAAGGGCAATGCCTTGGGGGTGCAATGCAACTTCCCTTTGCATTGCTATTGTAATTTGTAATTGCACTTACTTGTTGGTTAACTCTAATTACCAACTTCATATAATATGGCTTAGGGCTTGTTTGGTAAATATTTTTAAACGATTGAAAACATTTTTAAATAAAATATTTTTGTAACCATTTTTGTAGAAATTGATATTGTAACAATTGGTGTCTAAATAACATTTACTAAGAAATACATCGTATTACATCTATATCGCAGCCGTTATCGGACAGTGGCCGGCAGCCATTGATATTTGTTCTCCTCCATTCACACCATTCCTCTTTAACCATCACTTTAATTAATCCTCTATTCTTATCAACAACCTTCTTAACTGTGGAAACCTATCTGTCCTTCTGGTATCTCAACCTAAAATACAATTAAATCTCCAAACCCTAGCTGCATGCCATAATTCTCTCCAACTCGCAGACCAAGCTGCTGTTCCGAAGGAAGGATCGAGAACAAGCTTTCTATCTCTGGTTTGGTCTGCGAGTCCTGTTTCGAAAATGGCGTGGCAGCCGCTGCTTAGTTGGATCATGTCTTCTTCTTCTTCCTCTTCTTCCTCTTCATATTCATCGTCAGAGTATGAATCTGACTATGACGATGATATTTGTCATCATGACCCCGGCAACAACAATGTCCGTCAAGCACAAAAGGGTCACAATGTTGATGATCATGAAGACGATGACGATGAAAACGACGTTTCATACGAACCCCATGAGGCCGAGCATGAGGACGAAGTGGAGGAACCAAAATCCAGCTCCACCTCCGACTACAGCTTCACAATATACGAGCCCCGTGCGAAACGACGGCATATTGACCATGCAAACGAGGCATTAACGTCCGTCCAAGAGGAAAAGAAGCGGCGGGGTAAGAGGGTTTGGAGTAAGGGGGACGAGCTTGAGCTGTTGCGTGGCTTTCTTGACTACTACGGCACCAGAAAAACCAGAATTACCAAGGCCACCGCTAAGGAAACGGCGTTGTTTTACGACGAAATCAAACCGAGGTTAAAGCTCCAATGCAGCAAGACAAAAATGGTGGAAAAGCTGAGAAGACTAAAGAGGAAGTACCACAATGTCCTGAAGAAAATGAACGAAATCAACTCCTCCGGGAAAGAGTTCCGGTTTAAAAACGCACACGACAATGCGGTTTTCAAGCTTTCGCATAAGATTTGGAACGTCGAAAAAACCAGAAATAATTGTGTCGTAGAATCGCATAACAATAATGTCATGGTGAAGAGGGAGGAGGACAATGTGGCGGCGAGTAGTAGCGTTGCGGATCATGAGAGGCCAACGACATCGTTTGATGAGAATAATAACGTTACTAATGTGGATGATAACATGAATAATGGTCATGATGTGAGAGGGTTGATAGTAGGGTTGGCTATGAATCCAATGCCTCTGAGTTTGAGAGGTAAAATGGGAAGTGGCGGCGGCGGCGGAGTCGGAGAATTGGTGGAGGATGAGAAGTGGAGGCAGCAGCAGATTTTGGAGTTGGAGGCTTATGAAAAGAGGTTGGATTTGGTGCAGCATCAGGTTAAGGCAGCTTTGGAGGAATTGAGGTCCAAGGGAGGAGCTTAGTTTCTAAGATTGTTTTTGTTGTTGAATAGGATAGAAAAGTTTGCTTGTTAATCTTGATTTGGTAGAGAAATTGTTACCTAATGCTTCCTGAAAAAAACACCTATGAAATTGAATTAACTTTTTGTGATGGGACATTCAGGTGTGATGGAATTTCGTTTTTTTGTCAAATAATAGATTTTGTATCAATAATATCAATGTTAAATTGAATTGATGTTGTTTATCATGAAATAATATATGTACAAGAGAAACTTAAGTAGAACAACCTGAACAGCTGAGAATTTAAACGCCGTTTATGATGTTATTATCCGATCCAACGTAAGTACAACTCCTAATACATGCTGATCTACCCCTTTGTAAGAAGCTGAACTGACGTTTGTGATATAATATATAGTAGTTACTAATATTGTTCTCTTGGTAGATTAATGAATACCCACACAGTAATGTGGACTTTGGAAATGAAGGAGATCCTATTTTTCAAAAGGTGTGTGCTGGAGTTGCTTTATAAATAGAGCATTCCGTGTACTATCAAAATACAGAGAAAATGAAAGATAAATAACATCAGTATCTATCCGTCCATCTTTTATTAGTCATCCGCTTGTGTAATAGTTGCAGTGTGATATTTCACACATACTTCGCTCATGTCACTAGTAAAGGTTCTCTCTTTAATTTTTATCTATTTATAACCTGTTCTTATTTGGTGGGGGGAGAATTTTAATTTATTGTGTATTTGGTTGGGTTTATTGGTTATTGGGGTTTGATGATTTTTGGACACAAACCCAAACCCGGCCCAATAACTTGGATCCACCCACAGTTTACCACCTTCCCCACCTTATCCAACTCTTCCTTTCAAAGCAAGCATATGCCCTCCAATGGATCCCTTTCCTTTCTCCTCCACCCAGATGCACATACATCACTGAAACACCCGCATAAACAAACAACAACAATCACATTCCCAAATTAACCCCAATTTTCTCTTTCTACACTTTCTCTCTCTTCTTTCTTTTCACCAACAAAGAAGCTCTGAGAATTACAGACAAAAAAACAGAGAGAAATTACAGACATCCATGGCTTGCGCGACAAGACCCACCTTTTCTTTCCACCTCTCAACCACTTTCCCGCAACATTCCCACCCAAAGCCCAAAACCCAATTCCCTTATCCCCACCTCCTCCCAAAGGTCCAAACTTTTTCACTCTCTCTCACTCACATCCCCCCAAAACCGCACATATTGTCTGCAAACTCCATTGATGTGTCGAAGGAAGACAAACCCACTTCAGAAGAACCCACCTTGCCCCCTCCCGCCTCCTCCGTGGACCCAGTAGAGCCGGCGGAGGAACTCGAAACGACGTTCGACAAGCGGCGGCTGGAGGAGAAGTTTGCTGTGTTGAACACTGGGGTGTACGAATGCAGGTCTTGTGGGTACAAATACGACGAGGCGATGGGTGACCCGTCGTACCCGGTGCCGCCGGGATTGCCGTTTGATAAGTTGCCGGAGGATTGGAGGTGTCCGACGTGCGGGGCGGCGCAGGGGTTCTTTGTGAGTAAGAGTGTGGAGATCGCTGGGTTTGCGCAGAACCAGCAGTTTGGGCTGGGTGGGAATACACTCACTTCTGGGCAGAAGGCTGTGCTCATATTTGGGGGACTCTTCCTTTTCTTTGTGCTTTTCTTATCTGGGTATTTTCTGCAATAATCAAACAAGTATGGGTTTTTTTTTTCTAAATTGTGAAAATGTATAATAATTCAATTTACTAGTAAAATTATCAGAGGTATAGTGTCTTTTTGTCTTGTGAGATTTGTAGTTCTGTAAAGGTTCACTTCTTTTTTCGGAATGTTTACTTGGAACGGAAAAAGTCATAAATTACGAAAATAAAGAAAATGATATGCCTGGCTCAATTAGAAGTTGGTTGATCTTATTTCTTTAGTGTTGGATTACGGATCTTAAACTCCGTTACACATATTTTAGTAAACACAAGAAAGCCTAGAATACTCTCGCCGCCATTCGAGCATTCATCTCGCATTGAAAAAGTTAAAAAGATTGGTTCCCTCAGCTGAACCCTTTGAATTCCACAAACAAAAACACGAGCACCAAATCTCGTTTCATTTAAACAACCCTGTTCTCGAATCATATCATACTTTCAAAAAAAAAAAAAAAAAATCCGGGTATAAAAAGGAACGAATAAATAGAAAATATTTTCGGAGCGACGAACATCGAATTCCTTTTGGATGACATAACATTATTCCCCTGCATGCTAATGACACATCAACCCCTACTTCTGATTTGGGCAAGCGCCTTCACAAATTCTTCCTATGAAACTATGACAACAAACTGCAACTATATACTGCATATTTCACAAACTACGTAAGAAATAGTTAGTCGTATATGCCCGCCGTAGCCAGTTAGTACAACCTGTGAGAGCTTCTGAAGAAAAATCCTCTTGTATTGATGTAACAAACAGACCTGCGGTTTTCGGTACTGACTCCATAACATAGGGAAGCCAAATCAGTTTCGCATCAGAACCCCAGAATCAGCAGCGTCTAGATTGGAGTAATCTGGGTGGCTGCACCTCTTACAAATAGCCAGGCAACATCACACAAATCCTGAAGAATCACTCCCGCTCTGGTCTCCACGGTCTGATACATCCTGGGGAGCGCGCGCCTTAACTTGATAGACCTTCTCGACCTGTGGTTGCTCATATGCTCCGCCATATCCAGTTTCCTGTTGCCTTACATATAATCCACCATTTCCAGTTGGTTCTTTGCTAATCCACTTGGTAGGTGGCGAAGGAAGAGCACCCATGTTCTGCACAAACAGGTGCTGATGGTTTGCTTGGTATCCTGAATTTGGCATCCCCGGTGGTGCCACTGCAGGTGACCTGGTTCTCACACTGCCTTGAACTGTTAAACTAGACATTGCGGTTCTCAGGTTGTGGTACTGTTCTTGATATTGTACTCTCTCTTGTGTCCTAAAACTTTGTTCTTGATATTGCACTCTTTCTTGTGCCCTAAAATTCTGTCTGTCACCTTGCATACCATTTGACGCGGGAAATCTAGGCCTAGTCATCATGACCTGAGGATTGAAGGAATTTCCGTACTTTGCTTCTTCACGGAAGCCACCTTCATACCCAGAGGGCCCAGCTGGTCTTGGTCGGTTGACTGGATAATTTCCTGCATAGTTTCCGGAATTTCGTAGTGGCGGTTGATCCCAAAATCCGGAGGATGAACTATTAGGTCTAATATTAAGGGTGTTCTTGACTAGTCGATGAGCTGCTTCTCCCAACATGGATCCAGCAATTGCTCCAGGTATTTGTGGCCTATAAAACAAACGCTTCAGGGTCAGAAACAACAATCCAGAGTCCTGAGTTGCAGTAGTTATAAGATAAAGATTCTCACAGATATTCCCAATTTGAGATCTCGTTACTAAGCCGAAAAACATGTAAAATCAGGACAACTGGAATTCAACCCACCTCTCTCTACCTTGGCGTCGAGGACCTTCGTCGTGCCATAACGTAGGGAATGGTTTGATGTCTGTAGGTCTTACAACCTGAAGACGTTTAAAAGAATAATTCAAATTATATCCCCCTGAATCCCAGATAGTCAAGAGTAACAGAAAAGTTAATAGAATACGAATAACAGAAAAAGAGGACAAGAAACGAAGCATAATCCCAACCGTCTTAGCATCTCCAAGCATGGAACAATTTGATTATAAATCAACACATGAAGTGAAAATAAGAAAAGCTCAACTTATATGCAGCTCCTCACATTTTTTGACCCATAAGAAAATGACAATAACATAATATTTCTCACTAGAAGATTCACATTGAACAAAGCATGAGCAAAAGAAACACCAACCATAGGAACCTGATATATATGCCAGCATTAACGGGAAGAAGGAATGTGTTCACAAGGGGATATAAGCTATATGTATTTGACATGGACTAAAACCAAAAATTCTGTCAGAATTGGGCAAGAACTTCAAAGAATCCAGAGCTCACATACCTTTCTGGGCATTATCACACCCTCGGGAGGTTCTGGAATGTGTGTATGAGGAGTGGGGTTAAGATATGTAACATTTCTGCATATGAAAAGTCCCACCATGAAAACGCTTTATTCTCTTTAAGTACTAAAACAACAACAATAGTAAGGAGCCTACTTACAAGACTTGGTTATAATGAAGGTTTGGATAACCATGAACAGGGGAAGGGATTACATGTCTAACGCCATTTCTCTCGGATAACCAAAGGAATCCATTCATTCCACCACTGAAAAAAAAGTAAGAGGGTCGCAATTCTAGTGAGTTCCACAATGACAATTAAACCACGAGTCCCAATATAGACAATTACTAAAATAACCTACCTAGTAATTGTGTCTATGATCCATAAACATCTTTCATGTGGGGGGGTCTGATAACACAGTTGGTAGTACATACTGATGTGTGCTGCCAAAGGATGAGAACTACAAACATAAAGCAAATCAAGCATTATGCTATTCCGAGCCTGCTCTTCCTCCTGCAAGATGTCCAAAATAGCCCTATGGTAAGATAGAGAATCCAGAGATAAGTCGTAGGCTCATTGCAGCCTACCATATAATATCCTTAACTCCTACTCTGACCAAAATGTAATCCATGATTCCAAAGACCAACAGCTTCAAGGCATTTCTCTCTCAAATTACCAATAAATACACACAGCCAATAATTTCAATACTATTGGTTCAGAGCTCGAAGAGATGGGCATGAAAGGACAGATTTATATTTCCAGTTATTCTCACAACCCCAAAATTCAGTCTATCAGAACTGTTGACTTTGATCCCCCTTAGTTGATCATGTTCCTCTGTAGTCTCTGGTGTTATGCAAACTTCTAGGAATATGCTATGCGAATATATGAATATTAAATTAAACACGCCACACGTAAACACAAAGAATCTAGCACCTGGTGCCATATGTTTCCTAAAAACCTGATTGTGAAACTGAAACATAATTCCTGCAAGCTAACCTAGAATTTATAAAAGCCAACGCTTTACGTAAGTATTTGGTATACTAAATTCATTTTAGGGAGTACAAATTTGACAGTTAATTATATGAACATGAAGTATAACTAATGCAAAAAAATATTAGGAAGAAAATGAATGATCTTCCAGACCGTTAAAGTGCTTTCAAGCTTCCTTGTCTCCGTAAGCAATTTCTTCTCGTCAATGAATGGCAATTTGGCAACACCCTGACTTCCAAACAGACACAGACACATAAAGTGATATAATTACCATTAGTTTACCTCTCCAAAAGGTTAAAAAAAACTACAATATAAAAAAATAAAGAAAAACAACACTACACAAGATCATACCTGCCACGCAAAGCGCTTGCCATTCATGTCAATTTCAAAATCTGTAGTCAGATATTTCAAAAGGAAAATATTATCAGATAGGATACAACTTCACGGTATAAAAAGATCTATACAACTAATCAATTATTACCAGCAGGGTAGAAATCATGGATAGGAGATCTTGGATCACTCATCAAGTTTCTGTATTTTTCCGGAAGAGCACTGGAGCTGTAAAATAGAAATAGTGAGATTAGCATTATCACGTCTACAAAATGAAAATCTTCTAAACATAAATGTTAACTTATTTGAATAAATTCAACGCCACAAATTAGAGAGAGACCTTGCGGCTGGTAAGGTTCCCATGAGCTGATCGAAGGGCTTAAATGGCTCTCCCAAGAAAAATGTTATTTCCAATTCATCTAAATCTTTCAGATCAGAGGCAAAAGGAGCATAATGGTATGGATAATACCTGAAAAAATGACAAACAGACACAAGCATAGTTATTGAAATTGAACGGGACACAATCCAGTCAACAAGTTGGCTCAACTTGTCACTCCTCCAACTTGGAGATAGAGCAGTCAGGCCTGCAGATCAGCAATAAGATGAGGCAAAGTAGTTAAAAGAAGCAAAGGGTTAAAGTCCAACTAACCATTGCCATGAGCAGACTCCTTGGTAATAATATCGGCAAACCCAACATAAGCCTTCTACATATTTTAAAACCTACAAAGAAACAAAAATATTTTAGCATGGAGTAACTTAGTAATTGTCCCATCAAACCATGACGAAACTACATCAAAAAGATGAAAAACTTTTGAATTAGAACACCATAAAAAACAATGAAGCACCCAATTACTCAATAAAAACAATCCATCTTTACCATCACTGAAACAAGCATTCTCCAATAAAACTTGGCAAGCTCTTTAGAATGGAATGAAGGCACCAAACTGAACCCAACAAGAATCTCCTAAACTCATAACATATGAAATCTTCTGATATCCTAAATTGCCTTGCATGTTGGTATGTAGTATGTACAGACCTAATCACAGTCGTTTAACCATTTTCCCCAATCTCTTTTTTTTTTTTTTCTGAGATAAAAAGAAGCCCAATTGTAGATGGGTAGAGGTACAGACCCCACCCCACAGCTTAAACCTCTGAGGTTCAATCCAAAATATATATGGCAGATTATTAAATAAAGAGATCAGCTCACATGAAAATCAAAAAGAGGTAGTGTAAATGATATCCAAAAACAAAATCATATCCACATTCCACAGCCAAATAATGTTACTAAAAAGTCTCGCCAGAGAGAACTTACCAAGTCCTTTTTGACTTTATCAATCTCCTCTGGTTTTGATACTTGAAATTTCTCAGCATAATACCTTTCTGTGTATCCAGGCTCTCCCAATTTAACCTGAGAAATAAAATAAAAAACAGTTCTAAACCCATTCAGATGTATAAACACCATACATTCCTTAATTACTTGGCCTCCCCTATTTAACATAAGGGACATTGAAAAGTCTTAGCTATCCAACCAGAGCAAGAAAAAATTCTATAGTGTAGAGTTTCTAAGAAGCTTTTGCACTAACTTCATGACTTTACAGTGAAATGAGTTAACATACAATAGATGGCACAAAAAAGCTAAGTTCTTTTATCACTGCATTATATAAAAATTTGATGTAACAGTTACAATTATATTGCAGACCTTGTCTATCACCGGAGCCGGTACCTCTGCTGAAGTTTCTCTTCTAGCTCTATGTCTCTCTTCATTATTCTCAATAGCCTGCAATAAAGTAATCCTCAGCATGAAGAAACACCTGTATGATCGACTAAAGGAGCAAATTTCTGACCAATAAATAGTTATGGATACGTATGATTCAGTGACCTGTAATTCCACAATATACCCCCTAACAAAAATGCACTTCCATGTGTTCAAATACGTTAAAAAACAACGCCCTAAGCCTTTGGTTCACATATCATGTAGGGAAATACATAGTGTTGAACATGAATGGACTAACTTTTCTGCCAAAGGGATCCACATGAGGTCAGGACACAATACATAAGTCACTACATAATTATGATTAATTCAGAACAGATGCCCCTCAAAAATAGCATAACCTATAAATTACTTGTCTTTTGCCAGACACGCCTATATAACTAACATCATTTACATCTCTCTATAAGTTTAAATTTTTGTTTAACCAAACATTCAACTCATGGTAACGGGCAAATTTTAAGACCAGAGGAATTCCGTTATAATCAAGTAATCACAAAAAGAAACTTAAAGAGTCCCCTAGGTTAGCAATCTTGACAAAAAACTTCCCGCAAAAAAAAAAGGCTAAATTATTTAAAGGACAAGACAGCAATTGAAAGGAATAAATTCTTTATCATGCTTAAATTTGTCATCATCCCTTGGTTTGAAGATGCTCCAGTAAATTGACAAACAAATGAACTGATAGTACATGCTAAATCAGAAAGAAGCGAAATACCTGCTGAATTCGAACCCGCTTTTGAAAAATTTGTTGTTCAAAAACAGCAACAGACTGAATAAAATGCTCAACTCTGTTTAACAATACCTGTGAGAGAAACTCACATGGATAAGCACATACATGGTCCCAATGTTCACTAAAATAAACTATCGTTACATAAGCTTTATGCCAAAAAATAATATTTTACCATGTTACACACAAGTCTCACATAGGAACATATTTTCCAATTGGTCGATAAAATTGCAAATATTACTATGTTACACACAAATTCTTCATAGAAACATATTTAAACAAACAAATGTGATAACAGAGCAAACATCCAACTTTTTTTTAGAGAGAGATTAAAATATTTTACATAAAACAAACACATCTGACTATTAGGAATAATCATGTTCCACTCTTTCCTTTCTTTGCTATTTTAATTGAATCTCTATATCAGGCATTGTATACCATTTACACACAATACTGCAGGAGCTCCAATAATTGCAGTCACAGTTTACTACGGTTTGCTATTCGTATTAGATCTCTAATAAGGAGTTAGTGGTAACAAGTCTCCTACATTACAATACAGGTCTTCCCAATACTGTTATGTAGCAACGATAGGATTGGCATTCATTCAATCCTCATCCATGGGTGAATTTTAGATATTTTCACGCACTTAAAAAATGTTAACATCCAAATAGTTGATACTTTTAAATATAAAAAAACAAGAGAAACTAGATGACTTTGGCACCCATTACAAACATCATAGATAAGAAATTGCGATTGACACATCAGAATGACATTTATGGAAAATGCAATGAGATACAAGTTTAATAGACATGTAAAGAAGAGTAATTTACCTCACCCGCATCAGTAAGATAACCTCCCATAGCAGTAAACTCCTTTCTATAAATATGCATCAATAAATTAATAGCACCCTGAGGCAGTAAAAAGTTAATAGAAATTAGAAAATACCCCAACAACTATAAGTTTTATACAAAAACACTTCAAAAACTCAACTACAGGGAAAAAAACCCTAATCTATACACATGCCATGGTCTAATGGATTATTAGCGGTAGATTTCCTTTGGTGCCCTTCTCCTATTACAAAGTCAGAGGGTTCTTGTCCTAAAGCATTGGGTTTGAAGTGTTTTTCTCGGAAGTGCAATGTTATCAAGTGCTTGTATGTGAAAAGGCCAAAACTTTATCCTTTCATCATGTAAAAAAGAAAAGTGAACAACCAAACAGAAGGAACAGTGCAACAATCATGTGTTTGATACAGTAAAAGTTAAAAAATCTTAAGACATTTTAATTTGACAAGGATGCAATAAACTTAGTATCTAAACCCATAAAATTGGCTGACTTCTGAAAATTAAAGCAACAGACTGCTGGCTACAATAACATACCTCTCTGATCTCCAATGTTGGCATATGTGGAAGAAAGTCATTGCCAACAAAAAAACACATAAAAACAAAATCATCCACCATCCTTTCAAAATTGAGTGGAAAAGGAGGGTTGGGAATATCCAGCTCATATTGCAAATATTCACGCAATACCCACACATTGAGGAACTGCAGAAACAAAATGTCAATTTAGGAATAATATGAGAATGATATCAAGAGGAATTCAAAAGGGGTAGCAACAAGAGGCTGGATTACAATTCTTCAACCTGATATTTTTTCTGGTGAATTGGTGTTTTATCAACCACATTTCCATTATCATCAGGTACACCACGACACTCAGCTGCCAGATGACCAACTTGTCCACAAAGAAAACATTTTTCTTGTTGGCCTGGAAAAGTAATCACCTGTACAATTGTGGTTAACAATCTATAAGACCAACCACTTATAATAAAGGGAGTTTTAACGAAAAGCCCGTGATACTGTTCAGTTTAATGAAAAACCACATTTTTACACTAAAAAATCAAACCTGGTACTATTCACTTTACCCTTTATTTTTCCTTATCGTTAAAACTCAAAGTTTTCAAGCCCTTTTCATTAGTTTTCCTTATAATAAACAACTCAGAAGTGTTCTGAAGAATGAGAAATTACCTCTCTTAATATTGAGAAGTGAACCTCATGTGTAGCTAAAGCCAGCATAATCAGATCTGCATCCTGATTATGATGATCCAAATACTCAGATTAGAGCTAAACTAAGCAATGTAATAAAGGAATACAAAATGGTTTCCCTTTCAAAGAGCACAAAACACGCATACATGCACACAACAAAAGAACTATTCACAAAAACCTGATAATTATTGCAGCAAATATAAGAATCGCAAAAGGCCTAAATCGTAAACTCACCAAACCATAAAGACAATGCCGAGTGTTAGGATCAAAACCAGGGAGGTTGCGTTGCAGTCGGATGTATGACATTATTTTGTGCTCTCCCTCGCCAGGAACATTCGAATCAGAAAGCATAACCTTCAAATAACCACCCAATGCAGCCCCATAAATAAATTTAGAGAGACAAAGTACCCTGAAAACCAGAAGTACATGGTAAAAATATAAAGAATGGATTACTCCGTAGGCAAAGAACCATCCGATCTTGAAGGGGCTTAGGGAGGAAGTTGCAAATCAATACAGACAATGATGTCAAACCAACCTTCGTAGACTGCCAACCAGGGTTGTGGTTCAACCTGCTTTGTATGTAATATTGAAGTGCCACCGAGAGCACTGCCATAAATTGAGTGCCAGGGGTTATAACATTTGAGTCTGAAGTTTCAGGTTTCTCTTTAGGAACCAAATATGCCCCCTCCATCTCAAATTCTTTCTTCAGTCTTTCCTCTTCAGCTTCCTAACATAACACATTTAAGAAAGACAACAATAAGTCAATGCCTCCCTGGACAGGAACCAATTATGCACAGTGAATAAGATGGTACCGCTTCAGCCGCATCTTTTGCAGCTCGGAAACGTCGAGAACGTTGCTGATTCATTTTAGCTCTTGGAGCAACCCCATCTGCGAGAGTAAAAAAAAAAATTTATATTAAGTACTGAATTTAGTGCAAGAAAAATTTTAGAGATGAAACCTAACAACATGTCTTAAGTTAAATCATACCAATTGCCAAAAAAAGAAGCTTTCTTGGTCGAACCAATGTGAACAGATGATCAATGTAATCAAATACTGATTTGAATACATCATTATAGGTTGAGGGGGGAGGCTGCACACACAAAAAAATAACATGTCATCATAATACAGGTTTAAGTAAAGGCATTTCATCATAAAGAGGTCACCGAAAGCACATAATAACCTGGTAAATGCCCACATTTCAAACACCGACAAAACAACAGGATAACTTTTACTCAATCTAATGGTCCAAGTCAGTATTTAAGCCGACATACGAAAGATAAACAACGGAGTCTCGTACTTCTCACAAGAAAAAGGCACTAAATTCAAGTATTGGCAAGCCACAAAATACATATACAAAGATATAGATAGGGTTAAATCCAAACAATTACACCAAAAGACCAAGTTTTTCATCTCTACAACTACGAAATCAATCGTTTCGATCATTAAACGCAAACACCACAGCAACAACATGCAAACAGTCTATCTGGAACTCAATTCTCATCGACAGCAACAAAAAGTGAGGAAATTGTGGACGCAACCCAAACAAACACCTCCAAAACCCATAATTTGAACAAAAAAATTACCATTAACAACAAATTTAAGCAAAATTCCGTATCTGAGAGCACCAAAATCAACAATTTCAATAAAAAGAACGGAAATTGCAAGGGAAAAGAGAGGGCAAACCTTGCCGTCCGGATGAAAGCATGGATGTATAATGTTGTTCATGTCAAGGTACAAGTTGTCGAACTCATATCCGTTAGGATTTGGTCTGGAGACGTCGACTGGCAATGGGATGCCATTTAAGTCCTCTCTAGGATGCTCCTCCACGACGTCGGCGATGGACTGCGGGTACCGATCCGCTAGCCAGCGGTAAAACGCAGGGACGCCCATGAATACGGTGTCGTTTTTGTCGGAGCCGGAGAGAGAAAAAAAAAGGTGCTTTGGAGTTTGAAGCTTTTGGAGATCTGCGTGTACGGAGCTTTCTGGTGGCTAAAAGGTAAAAGTTGTTGTGACCAAAATGCCCTCACCGTGAGGAATACCGTTCCAACTTCTCTTCCCTCCTTCCCCTTTTTTCATTTTTTTTTTTTTAAATAAAAAAGTCAACATAAAGTAATAACGGTTTTAATCATAATCATTCAAATAAATAGAAATTAAAAGATACAAAAATAATAAAGGAAGAGAATTATACTTCATAACGAACAGATAAAGAGGTGACGAATGTTAGAACATAGGACTGCTGTTGTACTTGTTTTTTTTTTATTCTCCTTTTGTCAAGAGTGGTGTTGTCCTTGTTTGCTTTTGCCGAGTTGAGGTGTTTGTATTTTGATCTTTTCGAATATTAACTTTATCGAAAAATATTTTAGTGTGATTGGATAACTAGTTTATGGTGAATATAGAATTATAACACGTATACTTGTTTACTATTAGTATATCATATATTGAGAAGTATCAACTTAGTTGTCGGGTCCGCTTACATTTCAATCATCCTGTGCTAAATTTTAATTGAAATTCTTATTAAGGAAATTTTTTTTACTATAAATAAAGGTTGCAGCCATTTAGTATTATGGTCTTCATTTGTAAATAAGAGATTTTAGATTCAATTCTTGTCGAAATGCGAATTTGAATCATATTATTACTAGCTCATTATGAGGTTAAGTCTAACCCCTCTCTTTAGTTTAGATAATATGTTCAAAGAAAAAAAAAAGTTGCAAATATGTTTTGCTATTAATTATTTTCAACACACATAATTTAAAAACACGCGATCACATGCAGGTTGTTTGGCATCACGGTTTCAAACCTCTTCGGGGTTTTCTCAAAATAAAAAATGTTATTTCCGAAATATATATTTCATATAATTTGTAATTTCCACGGTATGATTCAATTCTGTAAACAAGTATTAATTCGAACTTTTTTTTTTTTTCTGCAAGTGGCCATTTACCACAGTAATGGAAAAATGTTAAGCCTTTGCATGACGGCATGGGTTCAAACCTCGTCAGTGACTAATCTAATTCTAATTTAAAAAAATTTATTGTTTGAAAAAAAAATAAAAAAACTTTTTTTTTTTTTATAAAAAAAATAGGGGTAAAAGCAAGAGCTTGAACAAATCTACTCAATAATAAATCTAGACCTAAATATCTCAAGTTGTCTTCACGAATAAAACTAACTGAACAAGAATGAGGATTGTCACATCTCGGCTCGGGCTCCACCACATCTCGGCCCCGCTCCACCACCGTAGCACGATATTGTTTGCTTTGGGCCCCGACTATGTCCTCACAGTTTTGTTTCTGAGAACTCACACGAGAACTTCTCAATGGGTCACCCATCATGGGAGTGTTCTCGCGTGCTACTCGCTTAACTTCGGAGTTCCGATGGAACCCAAAGCTAGTGAGCTCCCAAAAGGTCTCGTGCTAGGTAGAAATGGGAATATATATATATATATATATATATATATATATATATAAGGCTTACAGGATCCACTCCCCTGGACGATGTGAGATGTCACAATCCACCCCCTCTTAGGGGCCCGACGTCCTCGTCGACACACTTCCGCCCAGGGATTGGCTCAGATAATTATCACATCCCTGCCCGGGGCCCACCACATCCCGAGCCCGCTTCACCACCGTAGCACGATATTGTCCGTTTTGGGCCCCGATTACGCCCTCACGGTTTTATTTCTGGGAACTCACACGAGAACTTCCCAGTGGGTCACCCATCATGGGAGTGCTCTCGCGCGCTACTCGCTTAACTTCGGAGTTCCGATAAAACCCGAAGCCAGTGAGCTCCCAAAATGCCTTGTGCATGGTAGATATGAGAATATACATATAAGGCTTACATGATTCACTTCCCTAAGCGATGTGGGATCTTACAATCCAGGGATTAGCTCTGATACCAAATTGTCACATCCTTGCCCAAGGTCCACCATATCCCGAACTCGCTCCACCACTGTAGCACGATATTGTTCGCTTTGGGTCCCGACCACGCTTTCACGATTTTATTTCTGAGAACTCACACGAGAACTTCCCAGTGGATCACCCATTATGAGATTGCTCCCGTGCACTACTCGCTTAACTTCAGAGTTCCTATGGAACTCGAAGCCAGTGAGCTTCCAAAAGGCCTTGTGCTAGGTAGGGATGAGAATATACATATAAGGTTTACAGGATCCACTCCCCTGAACGATATGGGATGTCACAAGGATTGTCAAAATAAGAATTACCTGAATTTAAATCAAGATTATAGGTTGCTATACCGTCCGCCACAAAATTCTTTTATTTGTAGACATACCGAAGTTCGCATTGCCAACATTTGAAAGAAATTATCGGCATGTAAAAACAAGAAGATCGAAAGGATGATTATTATCATCGGCTTGCAACACCAAATGAACTATAACTGAATATTCTGATCCCATCAGTAATTTGTAACTTAAATTTCAACTAGTTATGTAGACTTCTAACTGAGAACCAACAAATGAAGATTATTTTGTGATATGAAATGGTTAATCAGGCAGGCTAACCCAAGGAGATTTTAAATTTCGGCCCAAAATAATGTTATATGCGAGCCCAGTTTCTTTTGGGCTGGACCAGAAGAAAACAATTTTTTTCAATCGAACACCAAGAGATTTTTGTTTTCGGCCCAAACTAACATGATTTGTGAGCCCGGTTCCTTTTGAGTTGGGCCAGAAGGGAAACACCTTTTTTTTTCAGTCGAACATTTTTTTTTTGGTATGAATGTTTCAAAATTATTCTAATTTCTAACTATCACTCTCACTTGGTCCAATTTTTTAAAATAATTTTTTGTCTGTTAATGTTTTTTTTCTAAATTTGTTGCTTCTTTTTGACGCGTTTAATGATTGAACCTCTATTCATAGTTGAGAATCTTGGGATATTTAAAATGTTTGTGTTGTAATTTTTTATTTATTTTTTGTTAAAACGGAAGGAATAAAACTAACTCAAATACGTATAGATGCATATCTCATCTTCCAAATATCAAACACATCATTCATAAGAGCGGCCGCAACCCAGACAAAAGGGTCATGGAACGCAAGACATTCTTGTTGTAATTTTCAATAACAACAAATTCCTAAATTTTATCCTAAACTTATTGCAATTGATTAACATCTATGGGACCATATTACAAACTAATTATAAGTTTATAACACTATTCCAAAAATCACGGTATAGCGCTGCTTAGTCCCTGCCTAGAAGTTAGGCAGCTAACCACTGCCTCTAATTAATCTCAAAGCATTTGAAATCTAGACATGCCCGTCTATGTCACGATTCTCACTTAGACAAAAAATAGATAACTTTGATTTTGCATCTTATGTTTTCAATAAATTGTAAGTGACTTGTTAAATACTTGTATGAACGCTCATTATATACTGGTTCCTCGTGTTTTCAATCTGTTATAGTACTTTATAATCTTTATGTCATTATGTTTTGTAATTTATGTATCTGGAATACAATTATGTATTTTTTTTAGTATAAGTAGACATTTATTTATATATTATATAACAAATTAATTATTAAAAAAAAAAAATCAATAGGCGCCAGGCCCCTATTCAGCACCCGACTAGTGCCTTTTTAGAACCTTGGTTTGTAACATTTTTCCTCAAAATGAAAAATATGATTTTTTTTTTTTATTGTTATCGACATTCTAAAATCTCATGTGCACTCCAAATTTTTTAATTTTTTTCAAATATGAAAGAAGAAAAGAGGATTTCTCAATTGTAATGAATTCATACTTTTTTTTAGTACTGTAATGAATTCATACTTCTACATAATAATTATGGTACAACCCTTTTGTGATTCTGTTATTTTTTATGGGATAGTCCATAAGCTTCTCACAAGTATTATTATGTAAATAAAAAAAGGGGTGATTATCAAAAAAGCAAGTAGTAAAGATAAAGGAAGGGGAGGATGCGATCATACCAATTCACATGCACTGGAGCCCATCAGAATTCTGAAGTTAAGCAAATTTGGACGAGAGTAGTACTAGGATGGGTAACCTCATGGGAAGTCCTCGTGTTGTATCCCCCACCTCTTATGCGATCGTACCAACTCACATGCACCAGATTCCATCAAAACTCTGAAGTTAGCGAGTTTGGGTAAGAGTAATACTAGGATGGATGACCTTCTGGAAAGTTCTCATATTGCATCTGTGAACACGAAAGTTCCTTGAAACAAGAAACAAGAATAACGTGTACAAAATAATATTTTTTGTGTTTAATGATTTTGGGGTTACGATCTCTTTGTAATTTGATCCTCTGATTCTATCTCTGTAAGATGTAGATTTGTTGATCCAAGGGCCGTCGATGCTTGATCTTGGATGAACAGTTGTAAGTTTCTTCAAGGGCCTTCGTGGCTTTGATCTTGAAGGTTGATGGAAGTTTCTTCAAGGGCCTTCGGGGCTTGATCTTGAATGTTGATGGATGAGCGGATCTTCAAGGGCTTTTGGGCTTGATCTTGAAGAACGGTTGGTTTTCTTCAAGGGCCGTCGACGCTTGATCTTGAATGAACAGTTGGTTTTCTTCAAGGGCTTTTGGGCTTGATCTTGAAGAATGGATGTGTGGATTTGTTTGTTGATCCAAGGGCCGTTGGGGCTTGATCTTAGGATGAACGGATGATGAATGAATCTTCAAGGGGCGTTGGGCTTGATCTTGAAGAATGGGTGTATGGGTTTGTTGAGGTTGTTGATCCAAAGGGCCGTTGGGGCTTGATCTTAGGATGAACGAATGATGAATGATGAACACTTTCTTCAAGGGGCCGTCGGGGCTTGATCTTGAGTTGGTGGAAGTTCTTCAAGGGCCGTTGGGGCTTGATCTTGAAGGAGGATTTGACGAAGAACGAAGAGTGCTTTCTTGATCATTCGGGATTTTCTTGAGAGCTTTAGAACTTTAAGGCTTCAAGGTTTTGGTGTCTGTATTTGTTGATGTTGTTGATCCAAATGGCCGTTGGGGCTTGATCTTAGGATGAACGGATGATGAATGATGGACACTTTCTTCAAGGGCCGTCTGGGCTTGATCTTGAATAATGGTTGTGTGGATTTCTTCAAGGGCTTTTGGGCTTGATCTTGAAGGTTGATGGATGAGCGGATCTTCAAGGGCTTTTGGGCTTAATCTTGAAGAATGATTGGATGTGTGGATTTGTTTGTGCTGTTGATCCAAAGGGCCGTTGGGGCTTGATCTTAGGATGAACGATGAACACCTTCTTCAAGGGCCGTCGGGGCTTGATCTTGAAAGAGGATTTAACGAAGAACGAAGAGAGCTTTCTTGATCCTTCGGAATTCTTGGGAATTTGGATGGTTGGAAGCTTTGGAGTTTCAAAGCTTCAAGGATTTGGGGAATTCCTCTTCTAATTTTGGAGTAGAGAAATGTATTTGTGAATTCCTTGATGCTTGATACCTTGATGGAGAAGCCTATTTATAGGCTTTGAGAATGAATCACCACCACAAAAATATTTTTTTCCTTTCCAAGCACCATTGCCTAATTTTCCCACTTAATGCAATATTGAAATTGAAGTGGTGTAACTTATGGCCTAATTTCCCACTTAATACCATTTTAAACTTGAAGTGGTGGCCTAAATTCCCACTTAATACCATTTTAAACTTGAAGTGGTGTAACTTATGGCCTAATTTCCCACTTAGCACCATTTTTAACTTGAAATGTGTATGCTTTGTCATTGCCCAAATGAGAAAAACTTACTTTGATCCGTAATGGATTGAAGTGTGCTTGCCTTGTCATTGCCCAACATGAGAAGAAAAACTTGTTTTGATCCTCAATGGATTGAAATGTACTTGCCTTGTCATTGCCCAAAATGAGAAGAAAAACTTGTTTAATCCTTCAAGGGTATTTCTTCCTATTTTGTTGAGTCACACGCCATGTGTACAATTTGTACAACACGTGGCGTATGCCATGTATGCCTTGACACGTCAAAACTTTAATGCATTGGTGAACATTTGTTTTTACTGAAATTTCGATGTCTACAGCATCCCCCACCTCTTTTTCAACAAAAGAAAAAGGTGATTAAAGGAAGGGAAGCATTAGGCTAAGCATCATGATTAAAGAGATGATTATCAAAAACCAATTATAAAAAAATAAAGGAAGGGGAGCATTAAGCTAAGCATCATGATTAAAGAGTAAAAAAGGGGTGATCATAAAAAAACTAATTAGAAAAAATAAAATATAATGTCTAGTATTATGATATTATTTTACGAGTAAACATATTCTTTCGTTCCTCGGTGTCTCATGGAGGATATCCCAAGATTATCTTAACCTTTGACCCAAAAAATATATATATATATATATAATCTTAACCGATTATCAACAAACAAAGTGAGATATAAATGTTGCATTTTATATTGAAAGCACAATTAATTATTGGTTCGTTTGGATGTACTTTTAAAATAATTGAAAGTGCTTTTAGATAAAATATTTTTAGGTTCCAAAAGCACTAATTATGTGCTTCTTTCAGGAAGCACGTTAAATGCCTTTTTAGGATTTACTTGCATTTTTACTAAGGACTGATTTTAAAGACATTTTCATTAAGTGTTTTCAATAATTTTAAAAACACTTCCAAACGAGCTAATAGTTACTTGTGGCACACATTACTAAATTATTGAATGGGACACAATATTCACACAAATAATGGTAATATAATACTTTCATCTGAATTGATATAGAAATTTTACGCATATAAAAAGTCAAAATCACTAGTATATAAAATTAGGCTTATTTTTAGCCACGTCATTTGAAATTCTAGTTTAATATCATTTTGTCTTTATAACTCAAAAGTCACTACTTTATTCTCTTAAACTCAAAATTCATTGTACTTAACTTATGAACTATCTCTTCTTCTTGAAACTTATAGGTCGCCTTGTGTGAGACCCAACACTTAATAAGACTATGTCACGTGTGCAATAAATTTGATTACAACAATCAAATAATACTAAATTTAAAAGAAATTGAAGAGATGAAAACAACAAAAAAGAAATTGATTAGTCTGACTCACCCAAATCAAACCCACATAAGAAATTGTCCAAAAAAAAAAAACGCACATAAGAAATTAACAGTCTAAGGAAATTGGGATCAAATTTTGAGTTTTAAACAGGTGACTTTCAAGTTTTAGGAGGTCAAGGCAAAGTGAAACGAATTTTGAGTTTTAGGGAGTAAAGTTGCGGCTTTTGAATTATGAGGAGCAAAGCGAGATTAAAATGAAGTTTCAGGAAGCGTAACTAAAAATAATCAAATTGTGCACTCCAAACTTTCTATATTTAGAAAGAAAAATATTCTTATGAAGGGTTCACAATTAAACTTTTAGAATGTGCAAATAATAGTTCTCTGAACTAATCTTAAAATACAAAATGATTTATAACTGAGAATAATGGTAATACGTGAGAAAGTTCCTCTTTGTCTGATGTCATAGGAGAAAAGGAATTTAGGATTTGCTTAGGATTGTTTTTAAACATAAGAGTGCTTTTAGGTGGTCGAATCACTTTGTAAAGAAGCACTTCTAAGAACTTTCATTGAAGCACATGAACTTTTAATAAAAAAATTGAATGCGTTTTTAATAAGTGCATTGCTATTTATACATTTTTTTTATACATTTTTTCTAATTTTTTATTGTCAAAACAAATGAATTAATAAAAAAGTAACAAGCGTGTGTGAAAAATAAAAATAGTTGTGTGAAAAGCGCTTTCCTTCTAATAAAATCGCTTAAAAAATATATTACCAAAATAAATAGCGAAACAAATACTAATTATAAATTCACAAATAATAGGAGAAAATTGAAATAAGGCCTATTCGGAAGTACTATTAAAATGACGAAAAGTGTTTTTAAATAAAAGTTCTTGGATTGAATAGCGCTTGAAATGCTTCCCACGGAAATATCAATCATGTTTCAATATTTGCTTGCTTTTTTGCTAAAAATTAGTTCTGAAATTATTTTCATAAAAAACGCTTTCAACAGTTTTAAAAATAGGGAGTTTTAATGAAAAGCCCACGGTACTGTTCACTTTAACGAAAAATCACATTTTTACACTAAAAAGTCAATCCTGATACTATTCACTTTACCCTTTATTTTGCTCTTATCATTAAAACTCAAAATTTTCAAACCATTTTCATTAGTTTTCCTTTAAAAATAAGACATAGAAAACGCCATTTCCAATTTAGCATCAGCAAATAATATATGATTTTATTTCATTTTCTGGTCAGTAAATATGTAACTTTTTAACATACCTTTTCTTTTCAAACAAATTTTTTTTTTTGTTTTTCAAAGAATTGCTAAGAAGAAGCCGGCGAAAAGTCAGACAGACGTGATGCCAACAAAGATTTCTTTAAATATCCGCAACTCTTTCCTTTTTGTCATTTGCTCTCACAACCTCTCATAAACTTTTTGCCAGCTCATCCTTTTTTCAAAGTTTTCAACCTGGTAAACTTCTCTCTTCCATTTCGTTTTTGTCAATATTTCATAAAAATCTTAGCATTGTTACTCTTCCTGCATGATTTGATATGATGGGAATTTTTTTTTTTATTCAATCGAAATACCCAATTTTATTTTTCAGTTGATTGTGGTATCATGATCATGGATTATGGAAATGGTTATTGGGGTTGTTGGTTGTTTAATGTGAAGTCTTAATCTGTTTGGTTGCTGAGAAAAATGGAGGAAAATGAAAAGGTTAAAACTTTGGACTGTTAAGTCTCCAGAAATGAAAGGAAACAAAAGAAATCAAATCACTTACAGTTCAAAGTCATAAAAGATTGCCGTAAAAAAACTTGATATTTATTTTTGCTGCTACTTTGAAGCTGAATGATTTGGATTTTTTATTTTTTGTTTGTTGAAAGTTTCAATTCTTCATTGTTTAAACAGATATCTGGTAAAAATGGTGGAGGAGAAGTCCGGGATTGCGAAAGACGTCACTGAAGTAAGTCGTATCCCATTCCCATTTCAGTTTCATACCCTTTTGGCCTTTTAGTGTCTGAACATTATCTGGTATTTAGCTGATCGGATTTGTTTACTCGTTGTGAATGTTTGCAGTTGATCGGTCAAACACCGTTGGTGTATCTCAACCGTGTGGTAGATGGCTGTGTAGCAAAGATTGCTGCAAAGCTGGAGATGATGGAGCCATGCTCTAGTGTCAAAGATCGGTACTAACGAGTTCTGATCCGAATATTTATCGGTTGCACACTCCGCAGTTGTTTGATTGGGATAATTTGTCACGAGCGTGTGCTTTCTTTAGTCTGATTGTTTTGAAGTTGGACTTGTATGAAAACTTATGATTTTTTTTCTAATTAATTTGATTGTTCTTTGTAGGATCGGATATAGTATGATTAAAGATGCTGAGGAGAAAGGTCTCATTACGCCCGGCGAGGTTAGTACTCATGTCTTACTTATCTAGACAAGTGAATTGGGTTTTCTGATTCCATGTGGTGCCTTTGAAGCCTTTATAGAAATCTCTGTTATTGATCGTTATCCGATTTCATAGTTTAAGGCCTTTTTCTGCATACAGTCAGTTCCTATGATGTCCACTATCATTCGACAATTTGGTTCAGATATCAATCAATCATATGGAATTCATCTCTATATTGACGTGTGCTGTTTCTTCCCATCTCTTCCTGTCTTTCTCCGTGTAATAAATAAATGATTATAATGATTGGTAATTTTCGCTACATTCTCACAGCCTACTATTGTTCCATTCCATATTCGGTTTCTATAGTTAATGAGGTAAATGAGAAACTTTTGATTTGACAAGTTCTTCCTGTATCATGTTGTAGAGTGTCCTGATTGAGCCTACAAGTGGCAATACTGGCATAGGATTGGCGTTCATGGCAGCTGCTAAGGGTTACAAACTAATAATCACCATGCCTGCTTCAATGAGTCTTGAAAGAAGGATCATTCTTCGAGGATTTGGGGCAGAACTTGTCCTCACAGATCCAGCCAGAGGCATGAAAGGGGCTGTTCAAAAGGCTGAAGAAATAGTGGCAAAGACACCCAATGCTTATATGCTTCAGCAATTCGAAAACCCTGCCAACCCAAAGGTGAAAGCTCATATCATTTTTTGTTAATTTATGACTTTTTATCTGAATAGATTGATCAAAAGTCTTTTCTTTTCTCTTTAGGTGCATTATGAAACTACAGGACCAGAAATCTGGAAAGGCTCTGGTGGTAAAGTTGATGCCTTTGTGTCTGGGATAGGGACAGGAGGTACGATAACAGGTGTTGGGAAGTACCTCAAAGAACAAAATCCGGACATTAAGGTTGGCCCTTTCTTTGCACAGTATAATGTAGAGGGTAGCAATTATTCAATGTTTAAGTGCTGTTTATTCTTCAGATATCATTATTTCTCATATTTCTAACTGCCCGCTTGCTCCCTTGCCTTTCGCATGCCTAGCTCTATGGTGTAGAACCAGTTGAAAGTGCTGTTTTGTCTGGAGGGAAGCCTGGTGAGTCATGATGACCTGCTTGTCACAATCGCAAAGTGTTTAATCATAAAATGTTGGGCCTTTTGACTTGGGCTGCGGGCTCTTTATTTAGAGTTTAATTTTTGAAAAAGTGCACATTTTCTTCTCACGTTGTCCTTTTCTCAGTTTTATGATCAGTTGACTTCTTATATCTTAGGCCCTCACAAGATCCAAGGAATTGGTGCTGGCTTCATCCCTGGAGTTTTAGATGTCAACCTGATTGACGAAGTTATTCAAGTGAGCCTGAAAACTTAATTGACAATTCTTCACTGAAAACATGTGGTATTGTGGTTATTCGTTTTGTAACGATTGGTCTTTTTCAAGTGACTTTTTGGCTGATATAAGAAGTTGCATAAAATGGGAAAACATTGCAATTTAAAATGTGAAAGAAGCGATAAGTATGCTTATGAAAATACTGGAAAGAGTTAAATAATCCTGGTTGCGAATGCACATTTTGAATTTCATTGCATGACGTCGATTATAGTTGAGAGCCAAGACTGAAACCCATCCTTCTATGGCTTTGCAGGTAACAAGTGAAGTGGCTATAGAAACTGCTAAGCTTCTTGCATTGAAAGAAGGTTTGCTGGTAAGTCCAAAACCATAAAGGAAAGGATGTCCCTTGGTTCGTTTAGCATGCTGTTTACATGTGTCCTGAATTTTACAACAATCGCAGTATTCTGGTTTACTTTGGTTTCTTCCGTAGTTCCATCTTCTATTATAATTTATGTTTAACTTGTATTGCAGGTAGGAATATCATCTGGTGCTGCTGCTGCAGCGGCAATTGAAATTGCAAAGAGGCCAGAAAATGCTGGAAAGCTCATTGTTGTAAGTGCTATTTATCTACTGCAATGGATTTTCAACAATGTGTCAAACTAGTTGGCTTCTTGTTTAAGTGGTTCTCAGTAATTCTCAGATATATACCCGAAAAAGAAGGCATTATTCATTTCCAAACAATAGTTAGACGTTGTACAATCGTGCTTGGTTCTAAGTGTGTTTATAGACATTTTTCTCCTGTTTTTCGCTGAATTAGTGGCGAACTTAAATTCCTTTGTACAAATTGACAGGAACAGCACATTCCGTATAGACCGGATCACTCTGCTAATAGGGTCTAACTACTTTTTGTTTCCAAAATGTCTGCAGGTGGTCTTCCCCAGCTTCGGAGAGCGTTATCTATCCTCCGTGTTGTTTGAATCTGTGAAGCGGGAGGCCGAGAGCATGGTGTTTGAGCCCTGATATGTTCCCCAGCTTCTTCAAAGGAGTTGTACAAATTTCATGCTGTGTGAGGAAGAGCTCGCGATCATCATGTTGCACCGTGTTCCTGCTTTGAGTGCTTTCGCTTCTTGACATGAGTGACCCAATAAATTGCTGTGAAGAATAGTGTGCTGGCTTTGTTGCTTGTAATGTAATTTAGGAAACAGGACTTGTATGGCTGACTAGTTTAAGAAACTTTACTGCATTCTCTCTTATAAATTCATTGCAATTAACAGCAAGGATGGTTGTATGATAGCATCAAATGAAGCAAAATTAGCAAATTATAGATGGTTGGGTTGGGGTAGGCAGGCAGCGTGCTTGTTCTTTTGCACCTGAGTTCAAATCCGAACCTACTTTCCCTTAATCTATTTGCACCTAAGTTTGAATCTGCTTTCCTTGATCCAAATTCACATCCGAATTTAAGATCCAAGTTCGAATCTAAATAAAAAGAAATTGGCTAATAATAAAGGGTAGTACTACCATGGTTAATTTATGTCATCCGACAGTCAATTCATCGGTCCCTTGTTAATTTATTGAAAATGAGCTTTAAGAAACACACGATTTTAGGGTTTAGAGACAACCTTATGAACACAAGTTTAGAACTACAGTTTGACAGGGGCCGCGCGTACGCAGGCCCCCAGTGCAATAAATTATGACGTTGGCTCTCCTACGTTGAGGAGACCATAGGCAGGCACCCCTCCTAAGTGCAATGGAGGTCACCGACCTAGGCCATGAGCCTTCTTGATCGCCCATAGACCCCGTCCAGGTAAGTATGTTGCCTAGTGCCTCACATTCCTCTTTTATGCTTCAGCCTCGCCCCTTCGCTTTGGACGTATTTCCGATGTGGGACTTGAATGTTGAAGCTACAAATATTGTAAATAGGGTTAAAGATAACAACCAAATAAAATGCTGCAAAAATTGCCAATGATGATGCTCGTGCCTCTGCCATTCCAAGCTTAGAGCATTCCCACCGTAGCAAATTGCTCAGGGGACAGTCTCCAAAACAAAGGCCCGAGGGCCGGTGGTTGGCCTCCAACGTGAGGCAGCCCGGTGGATGGGGGAGGCCCGAGGGCCAGGCCCGTGAGGGATTGCCAGGCCTTGAGCCCGAGGTGGGGATGACGCCATGCTGACGCCAGGGTGGCGTCAGCGTATTATTTAATTTTTTTTGTGTCAGGCGCGTGCACCCCACCCGCGCGTGGGGGCGCGTCCCGACACAATAATCAGAAAAAAATTAATTTTTGTCAGTTACCGTTGGGAAGCCACGTGGCTTCCCACGGTGCGTTAGATCCTAACGGTCACTTAATGTGGACCGTTAGATCTCAACGGTAAAAAAAAAAAAAGTGTCAGATTTAATATCCACCGTTCGATCTGAGATCAACGGTGGATATTAAAATGCTTTATAAATTAAAAAATAAATGAAAAAATAGTTTAAAAAATCTGAAAAGTTACCGTTGTGACACGTGGCACAATCTGGAGCGTTGGAATTCAAATTTTTTTATATCCAACGGCAGAGATTAATTAATTGAATAAAAATTTTAAAAAAATTCAAAAAAATTCAAAAAAATATCTGAAAAATCTGAAAAAAATTGTAAAAAAAATTGTTTTTACTTTTCTATAAATACCTTCTCATTATCATCTACCTTCACAACAATTTCATATTTTCTCAACTACCTTCAATCACATTCCTTTCTTTGTCTCAAAGTTTGAATCCATTTTTTTTCAACAAAATGACCACTGGTGCAGGTACGAATTGGTCGCTTATTGAAGATGTTGCGTTGTGTACTAGCTGGGTTGAAGTTACTCATAGTTCGCTTACGGGTAATGAGATGCAGTTGCGAGAAATGTGGAGTCTTATTCATACCAATTATCTTGAGAAAATTGGTGGGAAAAGAATCAAAGAATCGATGTCCAGTCGTTGGAAATTACTTAGCCAATCGTTTAGTACGTGGAGAGACGCTTTGGCACAAGCTAGTAGTAATATTCGAAGTGGGGAAAATTACTCGGATATGGTAACAAGATATTATAATTTATTGTTTGTATTATTTATTTGTTACGTACAAAATTTATTATTTATTGTTACTTATTTGTTACATTATAATTATGTTGTTTGTATTATTAATTTGTTTGTTACATTATAATTATGTTATTGTTACTTATTTGTTACATTTATTTGTTACATTATAATTATGTTGTTTGTATTATTTATTTGTTACTTATTTTCATTAAAATTAATGTATAATATCACTTACATTAAGAAAAAAAAAATGTGTATATTTAAGGTTAACATGACATATATATATATATATATATTTATTTGTTAATTATTTTCATTATTTACTAAACTTGAAGCCTTCTTACTTATTTTCATTATCTTTGTTACTTATATATATATATATATATGTATATATTTGCTAGTTACTTATTTTCATTATAATTATTTATTTGTATTATTTATTTGTATTATTTCCTTGGCACTCCGCGGACGTGGCACTGTTTTAACAAATGTTGACCAGCGCAGGTAGATGCCGTCAGCTAGGTAGTATGGCTCGTCGTACATACGTCCGTTGACCTCATATGTAACTTTTGGTGCCTTTCCTTGCAGGACATCGTTGAACACTGGGGATTGGGCAAGGATGTTGATGTCATTTTGAGCTCCCGGGACCCCGAAAAAGGCGTGCCAAATCCATGTATCAAAAGATGCCACCGCCTCCAGAATGATACTTTTTGCCCCTTTTCTGTCCCCGTAAGCGCCTTGCCATGCACTTGGACAGTTTTTCCACGTCCAGTGCATACAATCAATGCTTCCAATCATCCCAGGAAAGCCACGCATCTCCGCCTTCTTCAGCAGCCGCTCCAAGTCCATGTGTGTGGGTTTGCGGAGGTACTCAGCGGTGTAGATAGATTCGATTGCTCCGCAAAACCTCATCAGGGACTCAAGAATGGTTGATTGCCCCATCCTCGTTATCTCATCCACTTGGTCTGCAGATGCTCCATATGCAAGCATCCGCAAGGCAGCAGTAATTTTTTGCTCCGGCAGTAGACCTATAGCACCAAAAGCATCTTTTTTTTGCACAAAATAAGAATCATGGTTGCAAACAGCAATCATGATTTTGTTGAACAAATGTCGTTCCATTCTAAAACGACGTCTAAAGTACGTATCAGGGAATGCACTATTAGGAACAAAATAATCATCCAAGAGTTCAATACCTCGTCGTTGCCTGCTTCTATCAAGGTTTCCGGAACGGCTGGGCCTGCAGATCTGAGCCGCAACTTGGATGACTCGACGGGAATGTGAGGCTCTGCCCCTTCTTACGTCGTCATCTCTCATTCGATGCTCCTCATCTTCTTCCCTCTCATTTCTTACCCCCTGGTGATTGAACATTGATTCTGATTGGTTAAACAAGTCTTCCTCTTCCTGATTCAATTCCCACATCATCCTTGAGGAAGAAGAAGAAGACATTGAAAGAAAGAAACAGAAACTATGAATATTGATACTGATTTTTTGTGAATAAGGAAGCATAAATTATGAATAATGATAGAGATCTTGAGAATTTTGGTGTGAGATTTGTGAAGATGGATGGTGGATTATATAGAGGATTCAGAAAGGATTACGTTCTGCATAATGCCACGTGGCATGCCGTCATTCGTTAAAAATCTGATGGAAATCTATCATCAAAGATTGTTAACAAATTATGACACGTGGCATGCCGTCATTCGTTTAAAATCTGATGGAAATCTATCCTCAAAGATTGTGAACCGATTATGACACGTGGCGCGACGTGATTGGTTAATAATCTTATCAGAAATCCATCACCAATAATTGTATTATTTTGTATTATTTAATAATATTTAGGATAATGACACGTGGCGCAACGAGAACGATTAAAAATCTTATCCGATATTACATTTAAAATTATTTTGTATTAATTTTATAAATAAAAAAAATACTAATATTTTATTGCCTATTGCCAGGGCTATAGAAGTGTAACGGTGGAGATGCAAAATCTATTGCCAGGGCTACTTACTGTTCATTAAGGGCAATTACTGTTCATTAGGTGGATTGAATAGTGTATTGCCAGGGGGGAGGGCTCCAACGCTGGAGTTGCTCTTAGTCCCCGAGAGAAACAGCCTGCAGGATTACATTTTGGAGGAGGATTCTTTCTCCTCCAAATGACCCTCCCCTTCAGCTCCCTTCTATTTGAACGGTTATAACTAAGCTACGTCAATAAGGAGAGACGTACTGAGAAAGGAAGTGAGAAGATTTCGAGGGGAGAGAATCTCATCCCATAGATTTTTATGTAAAATGATGAGTGTTGGAGTTACAAGTAACATATTATCGAGCATATATACAAGTAACATATTAAGGTTGAAAAGTTGCTAGCTTTCTCCTTGATGTACGAAATCCAAAGGAAGAAGAATGGAAGCCAGTGACAACATCTTACAACTCGAACCAAACCACTCGCCGGATCCTTTTCCCAAACGGAGGCCCCCACGACAACATGTTATGACGTTGGCTAGACTCACTGAATGGGAAATTAAGGAAACTATCTTCCAAGGGTTAATATTAAGGAAAACTAATGAAAATGGCTTGAAAACTTTGAGTTTTAACGATAAGGACAAAATAAAGGATAAAGTGAATAGTACCAGGATTGACTTTTTAATGTAAAAATGTAGTTTTTCGTTATAGTGAATAATACCGCGATCTTTTCGTTAAAACTCTCATAATATTATTACATAGGCTTGGGGCTCTCATGCTTTTGCACGAATATTTTTCCGTTTTTTGGCTCCTAACACATAGGGGGATTCCCCATCCATTTATCTTTCCATTCTTTCTCCCGCATTCCAATTTCGGGGCCCCCTAACTGCGGCGTTCTACCATGATTCAAGGGCCCAAGAACTTATGAGTGCACATGAGTCGATATGCCAACAACTAATTCAATAACTGTGGATTCAATTCCTTCATTCAAACGTGAACCCATCCCACCGTATGTCTTAGTGAAGGTCGGATACTTGGGTCGGTTATTGGAGTTGTTGTTCCTTGCTTGATGGCCTCTTGCTCTCCTCCGAGTACTGTAATCCCATGCAACGCCTACGATTAAAAATCACCGACCTGTCAAGACCGTGTGGTTAAAAGCCGCACTTTAATATAAAGGTCTCTGATCCTGAGCCATGATGCAGGGTCTACTAACCAATGCAACCGATAAGAGGTTTTGTAGAATGATAGGTTATCATCTTTGAT